CGCTGTTTGGGACTCCGGCCAAGTTCATGACGAACTTGGTCTTCCGTCGCACTCGCATGCGCAGCTTGTTCGAAAGGTTTTTCGAAGCAAGCCGCAGCACCTCGTACTCCGGGAATCGCATTCGGCCGCGCGCGTGGTACCGTAAAAAGACGGCATCTAGGTCATGCGGGCGCTCTCCTTTCCTAACCCTGTCCCGAATACACAGCCACTTGACTAGCAGTATATAGGAGCCGGGGTCGTAGATGTTGATGGGCGCGGTGGCATGCTGTTTGCTACGCAGCAGGTCATACGCCTCACTAAATGTACTCGCGCGCATTTCCTGTTGGGCCTGGTGTCGTTTCGTTTTTCTCAGCTCTAGTATGTACTTCGTGCTGACTGCGTCACTTTGCCGCAGTTGTTGTTGTTGTTGTTGGTGCTGTGTAGTCGTTGTTCTGTTACGGGACCGCCGCCTCCTCCTCTTGGCGGCTGGTCGTGGGCAGCTGGCGCTGGTGCTGTCGTTGTTGTTGGCACGCGGCCAAATAAGCAGAACTCCAAGCGAAACACCTACCATTTTTTCACCTGCAACAAGTGCAACGACTTGGATTCCCATCGTGATTTGGTGAGTAGGCGGATCCCTTCGGAACACAGAAAATAGAAGAAAGCGATAGCATGAGAGGCGTTTTTGGGGTATGTGTGTTGTGTAAATTGTGAAGGAAGCTGGCCCCCTTGCTTGAATTGCGAAACACGAAAAGCGAAAAAAATGCAAAGCCTATCCCTAACATAATTAATATACTAAGCAAAGAGAAGGGGGAGGCGGCTCCCGAAATGCGAAACGCGAAAAGCGAAAAAGAAAAGGGCCCCAAGACAATGAACAGAGTAAGCAGAGAAAAAGCGGAAGCGACCCACGAAAAGCGAAGCGCGAAAAGCGAAGAAAGCGACCGGGGAAATCATTAGCGAGGGAGATAGAGAGAAACGAAAGCCGCCCCCGAAATGCGAAACGCGAAAAGCGAAAAAGAAAAGGGCCCCAAGACAATGAACAGAGTAAGCAGAGAAAAAGCGGAAGCGACCCACGAAAAGCGAAGCGCGAAAAGCGAAGAAAGCGACCGGGGAAATCATTAGCGAGGGAGATAGAGAGAAACGAAAGCCGCCCCCGAAATGCGAAACGCGAAAAACGGGAGCAGCCGGCTGGCTTTGTTCCATCCACACGCAAACCCAGGCCAGTGCGGACCGCGGGCGCGTGCGCGAACGTTTTCAGGGGCCGGATTTTGCTCCGCGGGCGCCTCGCGGAGGGCGTCTGAAACGCATGCGGGCAAGACCGCCCCCTGCTTACTAACTTGGGCAAAAATATCACTCCTATGGGAAGCCTCCTCGCGTATGCGCCCGCTTGTCTTCAGACTTGGCTTCCTGCGTGGGCGCGCGTGCTGGAACATCTAGCGCGGCAATGGCTCAAAATCTAGGATGAGAGGATAGGGCCTAGCTACCTCTACGCAAAGAATGCGAGCGCGACTAGGACCCGGACCAATGTGCGGGGCGGATCTATACCTGTCGGAAAGATATTGAGTGGGGTATATAGCGCAAATGCATCGCGATGTCGACACACCTACAGCACGGAGAAGACGAAGCGGGTTGAAAGCTTCTACCGCTGCTGACCGAAGCCATGCGCCGACCTTGGCCCCCCGGGGCGCAGATGGTTTGGGTTAGCAGCGCAAGGGCCTCCGCTCATGGCCCTCCCCTTTCATCATTTCCAAGCACAACGAAGCGCAGGGGCTTGCGTGTTTCCTTCTGTTGGATGGTGAGAAGGCTGCGCGCGTTTACTTTCTCGAGCCACGCGCGGCCTTCTCGACCTCCTTCGATCTCGCTCAGAGAAGGGCTAGCGCTGTTGCCCTGGCCACGGTAGCGCTAACTTTGCGACGCCACCGCTTCGCTTCGAGCACGATGGCGCCCAGGGCAGGCCCCTCATCTATTGACGAGGGGCCTGCGCTCTTTTCTTTGAACCACGAGCAGGCTCTCTTCTCATCTAATTCGTTTGCGCTTTTAGATGGGGTTGCTTGCTGCGGTGGACAAGGTCGCCGGCTTCTCGTCATTTTCCCAGCGCGCTGACTCGCATGGATTTGCTTCCATTGGTGGAGAAGAACGCGCGCGCTTTCGTTCGTCGATCTCCTTCGATCTCGCTCAAAGAAGGGCTAGGCCTGTTGCCATGGGCAAGGCAGCGCTAACTTTGCGGCGCCACCGCTTTCGAGCACGATGGCGCCAAGGGCAGGCCCCTCATCTATTGACGAGGGGCCTGCGCTCTTTTCTTCGAACCACGAGCAGGCTCTCTACTCATCTAATTCGCTTGCGCTTATAGATGGGGCTGCTTGTTGCGGTGGACAAGGTCGCCCCCTTCTCGTCATTTTTCTTGCGCGCTAATTCGCGCGGATTTGCTTCCATTGGTGGAGAAGAACGCGCGCGCTTTCATTCTCGAGCCACGAGCGAGCCACCAGCGCCAGCCTGATGCACTTCGTTGGCGCTGGTGGGCGGGGTTAGTTTCTTTGTTGCTATGGCCCGGATCTTCCCGCGAAGCTGCCCGCGCGGTTTTGTGCTGCCGCTCGCGCCTCGAACACGGTGGGGGGCCTGGCGCCGTCCGACGGCTCTCCGAGGCGCCCATCGCTGCGCCCTGCTACAGTGGTGCGCCAGCCGGGAAGCTTCTCGCGATATTCATGGCGTGACACACACACACACGCACACAAACAGAAGCGCCCTCGCATGAGTGCCCAACTTTTTCGCCTCCGGCCTACGCTGCAGGGTGCCAGCCCCCTCTGGGGCTGCGGCTGGTGCGACCGGCCAAGGGCCCGCCGCGCCATTTTGCAGGCGCGGCACGGGCCAAACGCTGCGACTGGGATCCATGCCTCCGCTTTCCGCGCGCTCTCCCGGCCTCTCGCCCGGCCAAAAGTAAGACCGACGGGCGGGAGGGTGGTCAGCGTCGGTCTGCTGTGCGTGGGCGTACGTGCGAGCCGCGTGCCGGGCGACAATATCAAAACCAAGAGCCAACCCCCCCGGCCCCCGGCCTCTTAGAACTGGACGCACGCGGCTCCATGCGCATAAATGCGAAAGCTCGCGTATGTTGCTAGGTAGTGCGGGGGGGAGGGGGGGCCAGCGGAACCAACGCTCAAAGCGGAGCGGCGCCAATGTCTCTACTTAGTAAGGGACGAGGGGCCTGCCTTCTTTTCTCGCCGCTTTTCGCGCTTGGCATTCGGAGGCGCTTCCGCTTTGTTTTCTCTCTTCTTACTCTACTCACCATCATGGAACCCGCCCCGGCCGCTTTGTTGTTTTTCGCGTTTCGCGCCTCGGAGGCACTTCCGCTGTCCCTCTTTCTACGCTACTGATTAGCCACGGCGCCGCTTTGGCATTGGCTTGGCGCTTTTCGCGTTTCGCATTTCGGAGGCGCTTCCACTCTCTCTCTCTCTCCCTCTCTTCTTCCTACTCTATTAACTCTCCACGGCCCCCCTTTGGTTTTTCGCGTTTCGCATTTCGGAGGCGCTTCCACTCTCTCTCTCTCTCCCTCTCTTCTTCCTACTCTATTAACTCTCCACGGCCCCCCTTTGGTTTTTCGCGTTTCGCATTTCGGAGGCGCCTCCGCTCTCTCTTTTCTTACTCTCCTGGCTCTCTACTGCCCTCCCTTGGTTTTTCGCTTTTCGTGTTTCGCATTTCGGAAGCGCTTCCGCCTTCTCTATACTTAACTGGACAGATCTGCAATCCCTTCTAGGAAATTAGGTGAATCACGGTGGTGCTCTGCTTATTTGGCCTCCTCCCTTGTTGTTGTTTCCTGCTGTTGTGTGGACGAGCGGGATCTCGGCCGCGCTGCAGTTGTGCACCTTGTTCTCCATCGTAGGTGAATACGAGGAGATCAGGTGGCTCTCTACCGCGCGCATGCTCGCGATCAGGCCGATTCGGATCACCATGAAGAACAACCGGCGGGCCCCATGGAACTTGTTTCGCTTTTTCCAGTTCTCATGGTGCTCGGTCCAGCGCTCCACCGGATGACGGAAAGTCGACCCAATGTAAAACCGCCAGGAGTTGTCGTACACGACATACACAACCAACCCCCTGCGTTTTGTCGTCCGCGTTTTTCGTGTCGGCAGCGCTGCGTTGGAGCTCCCGAAGGGTCTCCGGTTGGCGCTGTTCTGCCTCGACGAGGCGCAGGATGCGGGCGGCCTTCTTTTTTCCTGCCTCAGCGAACTGAAGCAATCGCGCGACCGCGTTGTTGGTCCATTGCAAGAACTTCGCGCGCCTCCGCGCGTTCTTGTGCTTCGCCATGCTGCTCGTGTCGTCGCTGTTTATGCTCGGGGCGCCGTAAGATGTATTTCAATCCCGGAAGTGCCTGCGAGCTTGTCTACGACAGTGTTAGAATCTCAGCCACTCATTGAGCGATTTTTCGATCCCGGAACAACACCGCGAAAAGAAACTTATGCATCTGCAGTTGTCGAAAGAAGGATTTGATTTTTTTTTTTTGTTTTTGGTTTTTTCGTTTTTCCTGTGCTGATGTGAAGACGTTGAGAGCTGTCGGAACGGTTCAATCTACATCAATTTTTGGTCGATGCACTGCCCTACCGTGAGCTACTTTAAGCGGCAGACCTTCTTCATCTCAGCTTCGCAAAACCTCAAAACCCTATTTCGATTGTGCGATGTTGTTTTTTGTTTCTCTGACATCAGAATTCTTTTTTGTTAGCAAACGTGAAGATTGTATTTGTAATGCGAAACAGCAACTTTTTCCAAAAATACAACCACGTGAAAGATGGAGAGAAGACAAATAACAAAATAATAATAAAGCAAAATAGAACCGTAGAACGTTGACACTGTGTTGCTGCGGACCCAAAGATGATTTTTCGACTGCGTCGTCGATGAACATCAGTTTTTAATTTTTTCAAAAAATTGCTTTTGTCTTGCAAATTCGATGCACTTTGGCATCTTGGTACAGCAGAGCTCTTTTTTCCTCTTCGCCATCATCTTCTTTCACCACCATTACAAATTCCACACCCGGCATGTGTGGGCAGTTATGCTTATTTTTGATCAGGCAAAGGAAGAACGGTTCCTCATTCTTTGGAAATTGGCACACTCCACCTCTTCTCGATATCGTAAGGGAAAATCCCCCCTCCCCATATTGAAAAGGTAGATCTCAGAAAATTTGCAATGCTGATTTGCGACCTCAAATCGTCTCTGTCTTGCAAGAACGCAACTCCACAGTCTCCGCCGCATCCTGCAGGCGGTTTGTGATGCTGGTGGCCCTACAGACTAGACGTTTGCCATGCTCAGCGCCTACTTAGCCCAAAACATCTCTACTCAGTCTTGGCATGGGCCTGCAGTCCTCTCCAGCAAGATAAATCTGATAGATTTGTGTACCCAAATCCAGCATCAGAAGCCTCGTTTTGATATGGGGAGGGGGGATTTTTTCTTTTGATACTCGACCTACAAAAGCACAAAAGGTTCGAAAAGTGTCTCTTTAAGTTTACTGAGGGCTTTCTAGACTGTCAAGGTACCACTACTTCGCCGCACAACCTAGAAAAAGCAAGAAATAGAAGAAAAAGCTTCTACCAGGAGACTAGCCGATAGATAAAAGCTAAAGTAGTATTATTGATAGTGCAATAGCACCATCGCAGCGAGAAGAAAAACGCACCTAGAGAAGTAAGACGCACCAGCGTGATTTAATACCGCCCTATCGGTGCAGGTGGTGGAATTTACTTTCTTGCAATAGTGCCACGAGCATTAATAGGAATGAGTACTATCTCTTTTTACGCCAACTGGTGACTAGCAGGAGCTGCTCGACTACTTCTACTCCAGCACTAAATTGTTATTTGAATTGTCTAAAAAAAGCACCGATTATAGACATCGACTTTATCTGCGCGTCGAAGTAAGAAAGATACCTCACAGCTCGGTGCGGCCTTCTGACACCAAGTGTTTCAGTTTCTACATTATACTTCTGTCCCGGGATAATTTTACATCGAGTTTGCGAAAAAACAGCGCGCACCCAGAAGCACGGTACTAGGTGAGAAAGAAGAGGCGAACACTGGCAGTGCATATTTTTGCAACGAAAAAATGGCCGATCGTCGCTCCCTCCCCCTAACGCTGTCAAGCACAACATCCCCGACAATTCCGCCTTTCATCCAGCTGCTGCCAGGACATGCTATGGGGTTCTCGAGCGTGACACTCATCTGAGCATGACAAATTATCTAGCGACCGCTGAGATTCTTAGCGGTCGTTAGATAATTTGTTATGCGAAATTACCATCAGCGTCCACACACGCATAATAAAAGCGCCTTCGCATGACAAACCTCGAAAAGACCAAAGAGCATAGAGATCTGCTCCAGGTTTGACTTTTTACTGCGAGAAGTGCAAGCGCCCTCGCCTCCTTTCACTTTTGCTATTTTTGCATCTTCAGATCACGCATTCATGTGATTAGCTGAGAATGTGTTAACGGTTGAAAATCCCATACATGCGACGCATCCTAACTATGGCTTTTCTCCCAGTGACTGCAGACCTGCCACGGACCCCTTGTATGGCGTCCCCGGAAAAGTGGAGTCGCACCGGGACCTCTTGCGGCTGCTCAAGGACAATACCTACAGGTCTTAGGGTGTTTACTTTACTTTTCGCTTTAGGTAGTTTTATTCAAACTTCCCTTTGGGATTTTTCTTTCTTTAGGTAGAAGTTTTCGCTTGTCTCTTTCAGCACTGGAATACTTTTATTTTTGTATGAACTCTCTGACTATACCTCCAGGACCCACCCGCGTGGGTGCATTCTGTCGGCCGTAGACGGCACGGTGCTCGAAGCCCAGGAAGGGTGGATATCAAATGCAAAAATGTCTGGGTCTGGAAGATTTCGGGATTTGTGATGCATATTTTGTATGATCCATGATGCATGTAATGCATGATCTAGCATCACAGATTTTTAGAGGGCTCCCTAGTGCCTATTCCGCATGAGAAATTCCCTCTCCGCGTAACACAAACTGGACTCCTGTTGCTGGTCACGCAATACAGATTTTTTTGAAATTCAAAGACAGCATGACAAGTTGCAGTCTTCCAGACCCAGACATTTTTGCATTTGATACTGGAAGAAGCTGTACAATATTGCGGACGGGGAAGACCCATATCAAATGTGAAAATGTCTGGGTCTGGAAGCTTGTAATGCTGAGGGAGTTAGAATGTGGAGGCCACAAATGATGGTTTAGCATGACAAGTTTCTGAGCTCCCAAGTCTTGCCTATTCCGCATGACAAACTGCATTTTTGCATCACAGAAAAATAGGGCCTTTGGGTAACGCTCATGACAGACTTAAGAGTCTTGCTAGCCTAGCATGACAAACCTTGCACTTTTCCAGACCCAGACATTTTTACAATCCATAACCCAAGGGGCCGGCCAATTAAGGACGTTTGCGCGGTGCAAGCAAACGGCGGCGGCCCGCAATGGGACAACGGGCTGAGGGAGTTTCTGCAAAATCCGGCGGGGGACCGATGGGAGGGTATCCTGAGTAAAAATGTACCCACACCAGAGTCAGGATGGGGATTTTGCAACACAAACCTAGGAGTTTTGTGAGTCACGCATGACAAGTTGCACTCTGCAGTGTAGTGCAGGTTAGCAAGTGCAGCCGCATCACAGATTCATCTGCTCATCCTGTTCACAGCATCACAAATTCCAAAACACGGTTGGAAGTGGCTCTCATGCGGATGCGCATTATAAGTCTTCCTGTCTTTGCAAATATGCATTACAACTCTGGTGTGGGTACGTTTTTACTCAGGATAGAGGGCGTTCCGGTGTCTATCACATCAAACGGGGAGATCAAGACCGTCTATGTCCGCCGGCCTCTTTATGCAGGCGTCAGGTTTGAAATGGACAAAGTTGAAATGATGATTTGTCATTCATAAAATGCAAGGCATGAAGTGCCTGCCTTGCCGGAACAGCAAGTGAGGCCAATTCCGAGCCTGTTTGATGGGGTTTGAAATATATAGAGCTGCTAAAGTAGCATGACAAAAGCAGTCTTTTGTCCCCCAAACAGCATAGCACATTGGACTCCGGTCTTGAAAAACCCTAAACCCTAAATTTGTCATGCAACCCCTGATAAGTGGGCTTTCGAGTGGTGTCGGTTGTATGCATGACAAACTATTTCAACTTTGACGATTTCGGTCCTGACACTCCCATACTTTGGTGTTCGAGCTCAAAAATGGTCCGCCGGGGCTGAACGAACAGTGGGAGATGCAAACGCTCGGTGTATTCTGAGTAAAAACGCTCCCACCCCAGAGTTGTCATGCAAATCTGCATGCCAAAAAAGTTCCCCATGCCGAACCCCATGAGAAGCATTCTCTAGTCGTGTTTGGGAATTTGGGATGCTAGAATCAGCATGATATGCATATCTGTGATGCCTTTGAACTAGCTAAACAGGATTACGCTACGAGGACAAACTTGTCATGCGAAACAACCAAAGCTGGTGGATTTGTATAAAGCAGATTTATTCGCATCTTGACTGTAGTGTGGGTCTGACGTTTTTCCTCAGGATACGGTGATGGGGAGACTTTGCTGTTTCGGAATCAACGCGTGCTGCCAGTGGGGCACCCGAAGTTTGCGGAGGGTGCGCAGATGGCGATCAAGCTCTCGGTCCTGACCGCGCGAGACCCCTTCGGCACACAGCCACTGGATTTTTTTCTCGAGCCGTATCAAATGTAAAAATGTCTGGGTCTGGAAGAATTCATGTTTGTCATGCTTGTCTGGCATGACTCTTAAATCTGTCATGCACGTTACCCAAGAGCTCCGTTTTTCTGTGATGCAGAAGGGCAGTTTGTCATATGCAGAATAGGTAACACCTAGGAGCTCAGAAACTTGTCATGCTGAGCCAGCATTTGTAGCCTCATCATGAGACGCCAACCAGCATCACAAGTTTCCAGACATCCAGGGATTTTTACTTTTGATAAGCCGATCCCCAGCACGATCGCGGTGGCCAGTCCACCGCTCTGTATCCTGAGTAAAAACGTACCCACCCCAGAGCTGTAATGCAAATTTGCAAAGACAGGAAGACTTGTAATGCGCATCCCCATGAGAGCCATTTCCAATTGTGTTTTGGAATTTGTGATGCTGTGAACAGGATGAGCAGATGAATCTGTGACGCGGCTGCACTTGCTACCCTGCACTACACTGCATAGCGCAACTTGTCATGCGTGACTCACAAAACTCCTGGGTTTGTGTTGCAAAATCCCCATCCTGACTCTGGTGTGGGTACGTTTTCACTCAGGATACTCTACGTCGAAAATTTACTGTACCGCGAGTCCTTCTATGCATTGCAAAAGTATCATCGTACTTGTAGTAAAATTGCAATCATGCAGGACTAATCTAATCGCACTTCGCATGACAAAGAGATTTTATTTGTCATTTTAAGCTAGTTTTTTGCAATGTAAAAATCACCACCAGTACGCTCATACTTTTTCCTTTCATACCTTCCTGTGCAATCCTATGGAATTAATCTCAAACCTTACATTATCAGCTGCTATATGACTTGTTATGCAAAATTACCGTCAAGATCTACATGATCAAGCTGCTTCGCATGACAAGTTCTACAAGAGACAAACAGCATGGAAATCCATGCCAAATCTGTAGTGCGGCGGGTGCAACAACCTTCCCCTTTTCCTTTCGCTTCTCTTGCATATACAAATTCATGTAACAGTTGAGAATGTAACGTGGGACGAGAACTGCATAAACGTCGACTGGCACACGGCCGTGCTGGCGAATACTATCCTCGATTTACGCCGCCAGGGCCGCTTGGTAAGTCTTCCATTTTGCTGGTTTTAGGTCGTCTTTATTTGCTGTCCCGACCGCCCCAGGTCGGTGTGAACAGAACATCTTCATGACTTTATTCGTTTTGTCTATGTGGTGGACCTTTCGTGATGTCCACCGTAATCAAGAATTCGGTTGTGATTAGCAAGACAAAGAAATAAGTGGCTAGATTCTACCGAAGCCCCCATCTTTGCCGCTAGGTTCCAGCAATAGCATCACAAATTGGCCAAAGGATCAACCTAACGATCAAAACCACCAGCAAGATCAACCAGCAAGATCAACCAGCAAGATCAACCAGCAAGATCAATCAATACATATTTGACAATCAAGAGCAGTAGCCTTTCTTCCAAGAATAGTACTTATGTTTATGTGGTGAGGTCTTCACTACGGACGCTATAGAAGTCTGGCGGATTTTATTTTGGAAACCGGTAAATAAAACACAAGAATAACATCGACAGGCGAGGGGCAATGCGATGTCGATGGTCACGCGTCCGAACGCCGGCTATCCAATGCAAAAATGTCTGGGTCTGGAACAAAGCAACTTGTCATGCTAAATCTGAATCATGTAAAAATCTGTGTTGCATGATTACCAAAAGCTGTCCACTTTTGACTTGAGCAAGAGGCAGTTTCTCATGCAGGATACGCATGATAGAACTCTCACCGAATCTGTCATGCGAGGTCCCGCATTCCAGACCTCATGGGTCATGGAAAACCTGCATGACAAGTCTGGCATTCTTCCAGACATCCAGGGATTTTTGCAATCCATACCGGCGTCCTCGCTACAATTGCTGAAGAGGATGCGTCGACTATGGAGAGGAAAAATCCCCCCTCCCCATATTGAAAAGGTATGTTTCCGAAAATTTGTGTTGCTGATTTGAGGGCACAAATCACATCTGTCTTGCAAGAAGACAAGGGCAGAAGCTTCCTTCCCATTGTGGAAGCGATTTGTCATGCTGTTGGGCCTAAAGGTCAGCCGTTTGCCATGCTGAGCAACTAGGCCCATACGCCCCTACCTAGCCTGGGGCTCTGGCCGCAATGCCTCTCTGCAATACAAAGCTGATTTGTGTACACAAATATAGCATCAGAAATTCCGTTTTGATATGGAAAGGGGGGACTTTTCCTTTCGATATCGACCGTGGCGCCAGACCACGGGATGAATAGCGATTACTTCGATGATACGCCGGGCGGCAACTACAACAGTCCAATGTACTAGACGATGCACAGCAAGTCAGAAGCTGACGAGGGAAGTAGTATTAAAGCAGATATAGAACAAAAGAGAACCCGAATTAGTCCTCTACTTCAAGAAATGTCTACTGAGCTAAGGTTACTTTCGGACAAGATCGGAGACGAGGCGATATTGTAAGGAAAAATCCCCCCTCCCCATATCGAAAAGGCACGGCCCAGAAAATTTATCATGCTGATTTGTGACCTCAAATCGTCTCTGTCTTGCAAGAACGCAACCGCGCAGGCTCTGCCGCACTCTGTTGGCGGTTTGTGATGCTGTTGGCCCTACAGACTACACGTTTGCCATGCTCAGCGCCTAGCTCAAAGCTTCCCACTTCGGGCTTAGTATAAGCCTGCCGCACTCTCCAGCAAGACAAATCGGATTTGTGTACGCAAATCCAGCATCAGAAACTTCGTTTTGATATGGGGAGGGGGGATTTTTCCTTTTGATAGGCGAACTGCGTGCGTCATTCAACCTGTTTCATCCAGGAACAAAAATTTGGTTTCTTTCATTATGGCCTTCTCAAATGTTACATTCTCAACTGTTGCGTGAATTGTGATGCAATTTTAGGAAAAGCTAAAGCAAAAGAAGGGAGCTTGCGCCTCTCGCATTACAAAATAATTAGCACAGATTTCAATGCTGTTTAGCCTTTCAAAAGATTGTCGTGCGCAGTAGCTTCATCGTGTGGATGCTGATGTGCATTTTGCATGACAAATCATGTGACAGTTGAGAATGTAACGCTTGAGAGCCCCATATTCTAGAACATGACTAGGCTTCCTATCTTGAAAACTGATTTCGTCCGAGGAACGCACTTTTACTTAATGATCATTTCATTTTACTTAAATGTAAAAAGCGAAATCGTTGGCACGAGAAGAAGCAGAGACGTAGATGTTCATGTTATGCAATTTTCATTTTAGTTTCTCAATGAAGTCAAGAATCAAGAAATAGCTCTAAAGGAAAAGATGAAATAATTTCATTTCCTTTAATCGAAGAAAGAGTACGTAGATAGTTAGAAATACCAGAATCGAAGAAACAATCACCAACCCGATAATCGTATTTATTATAAATGTCTAGATGATTACACACCCCAATTCTGCCTCCGAAATCTCCATGAAAGGAGGAAGAGCAACTAAATAGGGTCTCAGAATGGAGCATGAGCTCGAAGAACAACTGCTGAATAAATGAGATCGAAAATTCACACTATTTACGACGGATGTGTGCGTTTTCAACAAGGCGATGACAACCACACGAGATTGATCGTTGGATGCAAGTATTACTCCCTTCCTACTATGTTTTTCGACCCGTCAGTTCTTAACAGCTCTCGAAACAAGAAGTCTAAACTACAAGAACTCCCCAAGTTTAAAATCGCATTTAGCAAGTTGATGTTTTAGAAAGGTTTCAAAATGAAGGAAAAAAAAACGTGACGAAAAAGAGGAAGAAAAGTGGGACCAGCAGGATTATCCTGGCTCTTGTTCCCCCGACTGCATGACAGACTGGAAGCAATTTTCGTATCGCGCCGTATTCTGTAGAACTCGGTCGTGAAGAGGGTGCTCGGTACTCATGCCGGAAATTTCTCGTGAATGTGCGCGAGTTTGACGGTACACGGTCCTATCGGTCTGACCGCAGAAAGCAGTAACTTAGTACCTTGCTCTACTTCGTGCGCACTTTCTATCTATATATTTGTTTACACTTGTTTACTCACGCGACTCTCGTTTACATGTTGCTCATGACAAGTTGCTTTTGATTTTGCCACTGAGTTTGTGCTGTGGCGCATGTGGGCAGTTTTACCGGCAAGGAATCTGTAATGCTGAAAATCAAAAGTCCCTTCACTTTGCGATGTAAGTAACTTTGATGAACGACGACCAGTAAGAAATTAGTGTGCTGAGATTTATTCGAGAATTTCGATATTCGCCAGCGCTGTAGACCGACGTGGTTTGGGGAGAAAAATATCATAGATTAGTGAAAAACGAAGAGTAAAAATTGTCAACCCTTAAGAGCACGGTGCGTGACGCGGGAGGTTCTGAAGACCTTTTTGACGTAGTAGCAGTACCGATAAGTCGTGAAATACGGTCGCTGAAACTCGTCTCTACTTCCGATGCTGGAAATAACGATAGCATATATTATATATTGCTGTTAGCGTAGAAAAAAATCTACTGCACGGAAATAGAATGTGAATGATCATAAATTTTAAATCAAAAAAGTTGCGTTTCCTCCAGCTTCAGTTGTCAACGTACAAATACGATTTTTTTCCCGTGTCTTATCGAATACACAAAATTATACACAGGAAGACGACTAAGAGGAAAACTCAGTACGAATCTCTCGGTCTCGAAAAGTCGTGTCTATCCGAATAGTATAGAGAAGGATTTTGTCTTTGATTTTCATCACGGAATAGAGTGTCTATCGGGAAAGTAGTAGTAGAGAAGGATCTTCAACATCACTATCATCATGTCAAAGTCCAACGATACGGTACGCACGGAAGCGGAGTGGCGCAAAATGGTGCAAGATGGAGCCGGTGGGCGAGGTACTACGAGTTTCTAAACAAGACTTGAGAGGGGTTTTCTTTTTGGGGTGTCACTTCTTCAATTCGTGTTGTCTAGGAGCATCACTATCTTACAGGAACAGGCACAGGATCTTCAAACATTATCTATAAGAAACAGCAACAGGAACACAGGATCAAACATTATCTATAAGAAACAGGAACAGGATGCAGGATTCCCCCTATGAAATCTCCCAACCACCTTTCCCCAATCACCGCCCTTATTCCTTCAGGTAACAAAATCCGGGGCACCTACCAACAGGTTTGGAACGGTACGCGCGGCCGTACTGCGAGCGGTCTTTACAAATCGGATTTGATGATGAACGCCGAGGGCAAAATCGTCAGCAAAAAGCGTTCGAAGGCTGGGAAAAAGAAGTTCGCGGGCTGGCACAAGGCTTGCGCGAAGGCCAAGCAAAAGCTGGACGTCGGGAAAAAAGGCCGGGACTTTGTGCCTATCGGTGGAGTGAGTCGAGATGGCAAGAAGCTCCTCAAGGAGGCGAAACAGGAGTACACGAAAATCAAGGCGATGAAGGTAAAGAAGGGGAAGAAATAGAGGAGGTGGACGCCGTGCCTACAGTTGGCGGGAAGTAGACGGGCCGTTCGTATACGATAGCAAAAGCGATATACCGAGGAATTTTTTGAGCCACGTCGTACCCAGGGCGACTGTGTTTCAGAAAGTGTAACTCTCGGTTATTCGGTTGCGCTTGTGAGGATTAAGAGAACAAAATACGAAATCTGTAATGCAAATCTCAAAGACCTACAACAAAACATTCGGAGCTGAAAAATCTTTTTTGAAAAACATTGGAATCTTCAAGGAAAAACCGCATTGCAGATTGATCCCCCCCCCATGGCAGATTGATCCCCCCCCAACCCCATGGAAAAACCGCATGGCAGATTGATTCTGAACAAACCGCATGGCAGTTTGTTTAGAAAGTTTGAAAATGAAAGAAAAAATAAAAACGTGACGAAAAAGAAGAAGATGAAAAGTGGGACGACCATCATGCTCTTTTGTTCTTGAAAGAGGACGACAAAATTCGAACTACTACAGGTAATGCAGATGTTTAAAATGGACGAGGAACTAAGATCATTTTGGCCAACAGGAGCTCTCCGTAGCCATTTTAGCTCAAGTATATAAATGTTGTATGTTGATTTTTAAATATCTAGGCTTTTTGCATTAAGATCTTCCTGCATTCTCCGCTTCTGACGCAAATCTTACGCTTATTGCACTTTCGAAAACTTGTAAAACTTTGCATTCTGGTGAGGAATTCTCCCTTTCCTATCTCTTTCTGCACTCACCTGATTCGAAGCATGAAAATCAACCTGCTGCTGTTCAATTTCAATTTCGATTCGCTTTCGCATCACAGATCCATTTCCGGGTAAAATGCTATTGCTTTCAAGCAAGAAAAAATTATAATCAGAGTTCCGATAAGGTCGCATTCTCAGCACTTCGACACGAAGAGAGATCGTTCTTGAAATTTCGACGTGGTCTTCCCGGCTGCAGATCCCCGCTCCGCACAAGAAAATCATAATCAAGCTCCTTCCATCACATTTTCACTTGTTTGTAAAGACGTTTGTATGATTATTTTCGAGACTAGCCGGCAACTAGATATAGTTAGGTCGTGGTATACGCTAGTTATGCATTTCGTTTTTGCGGTGAACCGGTACCCACGGGCGCAAAACGATCGACCAAATGCTAACTAGGGGAGCACCCATTTGGTAGGCTGGGTGTAGCGCTGCTTGGTCGTAGCGCTCCAGCTTCCGCCATGTGGGACCCCGTGGGCAGAAGTATCCACACTCGCGCCGCGCCCATTTCTAGCTAGGGACTCACGTAGTCGCTTCCTTCTTCGTTCTCCAAAAAACCCTTCACAGGATGTGCTCTCTCAATTATGTTCAGTTCGCTATGCTACAGTGCTTATTTTCAAACTTCCCTTTGGGATTTTAGTTTTCAATATAAATGTTGTATGATTTTTAAATATCTACGTTTTTGAGATCTTCGTGTACAGTTTCACAAAGGGTTTATGTTGGGCCAAGCATATGTTTATTGGGCCAACTGGCTTCTTCAACATCGCGGGCTAAGATAGCATTCGGACTCTGCATATTTTCGCACTTATCATCGAATCGCGAAGGAGTGGAATCGCAATCGTTATCGTACGGGCAGCATTAAAAATCGCATTTTCGAGCTAGAGCTAGACTATTTGGGTAACATAGGGGAGAATTAGCACTAGAGCCGGGCGAGTAACATAGCAGGGGGGAATTAACTCTTCGCGCCCGCGAGTTAACCGCCCGGCAGGCCGGCCGGACGGTCATTTAGCTCCCTCGCGGCTTGGACGGTAGAGGGTTTCTGGCTGGGTGCAAACAGCCCCAGAGGTGCTCGTTGTCATTGGCCGGCCGGCCAGACGCTTAACTCGCGGGCTAGAGTTGGCAGGTCATTTGACGTTACGCCGTTCTTACAAATTGGGTTCTATTTCTAAGTAAATTGAAGTTGTTTGGTGAGTGTAACGCCTATACTTTGGGAAGAAAAATAGAAGCATTGCGAACCCGCACCTACATGCGGGCCTTTTGGGAAGAATTGCGGTGCTTGAACCTCCTCTCCATTTCGAAACTAGATCCTTCGAGCGGTGCTCCTCTTTGAATCGAGGCCCAGGGCTGTCTTGATAATATTTTCACTTCGTTCGCGCATCTCGCCTTTTTGTGGAATAGTTACGCTCGACAAACATCAACGACCCGTATTGACGAACGATTTTTCTATAGCCCTAGCATCGATTTGTATTCCCAAAAATAGAAAAGCTCAATCTGTGCAATTGCAAACACGGGTTTGCATAATAGTTGGCCCCGGGGGCTGCTCCCGTGTTGTAAAACGTCCTCACCTCTGCCGCGGTCGCTTACAGAAGCGTCGTGTGAATAGCGATTAGGCCTGTATATTTTCACTTTCGCCTTCACCTTCGACCTGATTTAGATTACATGTCTGCAGCAGAGGCATAGTTGTTGTTTCCTTATGGCCACAGTTCAAGCTACCAATGTCGAGACTTGAGGGAGGAAAGTGCTGCTTGTTCGCCTTTCTCGTGAACTCGGCGTTTGCGGTAATGGCAGTTTTCGCGTCCGGCCTCCACCAAGAAGCATCGTCGCCACACGCAGTAGCCTCCGCGACTATAAATCATGCGAATGGTGGTCGCGGTCGACGGCGTCCGCATCTGAATCGTGTCCACGGGCACCTAGACCTCCGACAATTCGCGGAAGACGCTGCGACGCACAGCCGCCCGCAATCCCCGACGCAGAAAGGACGACTGGACCAGAACGCACAATCAAGGACGACTGGACCGGAACGAGAGGCGACGTACAGCCGCCCGCAATCCCCGACGCACAGCAGCCCGCAATCCACAAGTCGCAGCATGGTGTTGGGATCGTTGCCGATCCACTTGACACTGCGGGACAAGAATGGGGATAACGACTTTGAAAAACAGAGATCCCACGTGCCCCGCAAGTGGGCGGACCCAGCAACCGCGTCTGCGAATTGTGATTATTTTTATATGTTTGGAAGTGGATCGAGTTCGAGGCGAAACAGCAACGAGGACCACGTAGGGAGCGGCGCGGCACCTTCGTCGGCCTTGCTGCCGATGAGCAGAGCACCTTCCTCGCCTAGGCCTCATCCTGAAGATGCGAAACTGAGGCCGCTTAGTAGTATCCTTGTCCTGCCACATGAACCAGCGGATTTATCTTTACTTGCCCCGTTCAAATTACCCCCAGCGTTTGGGCTTGAAGATGACTCTGAATGGCTCGACGGGCCTGGTGCTGGCGGTTGAGAAAGATTCGCCAGGACACGAAATACATTCCCGTGCGTCGGGATCTAAAGCACGACTTCTACGACAAATTAGAAACTTCGTTGTCGAAAATGACCACTGGGTGGCGTGTCTTATTCTTTTGTACAAAAATTTCCTGTAGAAGTTGATACTTTCACTATGAGCTGTGCCTATCCCAGGGTACTAGTGCTTTCCTTTTCGAAAACAACTCTTTTAGAAAACCGGACACGCATACTTTCAAGCTAGGGCACTACCTAGTGCTTTCCTTTTCGAAAACATAGCTCTTTTAGAAAACCAGACAAACATACTTTTAAGCTTCCCATCCAGCCACTATCTGTCTCCCGTAGTACAAAACTTGTCGATACCGAATTCTTTTGGGATATAAAGGGAGAACGTGTACAGTTTTTGTTTTGCCGTACCATGCCAGCCTGTGAAAGATCTAGCTTTACAAAAATAGCAATACCATGACGAATTCGCATCCACAAGCACACTGAAAGCCTAATCTAAAGATGATCATGTACAGTCAGCATATATTGAAGACTACAGAAGTGACGCGAAGAAATCCACAAGTCGCATACATGTCCACAAGTCGCATGATGCAAAGAAATCCCCGACAGATGAACGCAAAGAAAGCTCGAGGAATACGAACGGACAAGGAAACAGCCGCCGGCGAGCGCGCTGAGCTACGGGGGGATCAACATGCGTTTTGACAGTGCGACGATTTTGAACAAGGAAAAAAAAGCGTGACGAAAAAGAAGAAGATGAAAAGTGGAACACCATCATGCTCTTTTGTTCAAAGGCCCTTGCAGTGGGACCAGCCACTCTTGTAGTGGTGAGAGAGTGAAAGTGACCAAGAAAACGACCCTCAAGCAAGTACGATGTTGACAACGACGAAAACAATCGGCGTTTTTTACGACTGCCGGGCACACTTTGGGCAGTTGCACTTAGGAAGGTCCGAGAGGAAACAAGTTCTCCTTCTTGTGGTCTCGATTCTCTTCTGAACGTTTTTTCGAATTTGTCATGCGTACTGACCTCTCCGCACAGGCCTGCCCTCTTCAATATTTTCTTCTCTGGCGCGTACGAACATGTCGAGAAAAAAAAAAATACCGTAGAAAAAATCAAAAAGCACCTAGAAAAAATCAAACCGTGCTCCCACTGCAGAAAAAACCAGTCGGGTGCTTTGAGAAAAATCGAGAAGAATGCAAGAAAAAACTTTCTCCGCGCGCGCGCTGCGCGCGCAGCGAGGTTGTTTCTCAGCGTCTCTGCACATGGGGCGCGCCCCAACCTCCGTCTGTCGCTTGAAAAATTTTCTCCGCGCGCTGCGCGCGCGGGTTTCCTGCCTCGCCCTTCTTCTTGGCCGCCGAGTATGTGGGTGCGGTTCTTCTCCACACAATGCGCGGCCCCGCCTGGCCGCGTGGCCCGCTTGCCGCAAAAATTTTCATTCTCCGCGCGCTGCGCGCGCAGCGAGGTTTCTTGTCAGCGCTCCCCACATTTGGGGCGCGCACCCACCTCCGTCTGCCGCTTCAAAAATTTTCTCCGCGCGCCGCGCGCGCGGCGACGTTGCTTCTTAGCGTTCCCCGCACATGGGGCGCGCCCCCCACCTTCGCCTGTCGCTTGAAAAATTCGCTCCGCGCGCTGCGCGCGCGACGAGGTTGCTTGCAAACGTTCCCAGCACGTGTGGCACGCCCCCACCCCCGTCTGCCCTTTGAAAATTTTCTCCGCGCGCCGCGCGCGCGCCGAGGTTGCTTCTCAGCATTCCCCACGCATGGGGCGCGCCCCCATCTCCGTCTGTCCCTTGAAAAATTTGCTCCGCGCGTTGCGAGCGCGGCATTGCTACCGCTGCCGTCTTCTTGGCCACGAAGTATGTCGGCCCGGATCGTCTGCACCCAATGCCGCGCGCGTCCGCTTGGTCGGTTGCGTAGCCCGCTGCTCGAAAAAATTTCCCCCGCGCGCTGCGCGCGCGGCGAGGTTGCTTCTTAGGGTTCCCCACACATGAGACGCGCCCCCGCCTTCGTTTGTCGCCTGAAAAATTCTCTCCGCGCGCTGCGCGCGCGGCGTGGTTGCCCCTCGGCGTTCCCCACACATGTGGCGCGCCCCCGCCTTCGCCTGCCGCTTGGAAAATTTTCTCCGCGCGCTGCGCGCGCGGCGAGGTTGCTTCCCAACGTCCCCTGCACATGGGGCGCGCCCCCACCCCCGTCTGCCCTTTGAAAAATTTTCTCCGCGCGCTGCGCGGTGGCTTCTCAGCATTCCCCACGCATGGGGCGCGCCCCCGTCTCCATCTGTCGCTTGACAAATTTGCTCCGCGCGCTGCGAGCGCGGCATTGCTACCTCTACTGTCTTCTTGGCCGCGAAGTATGTCGGCTCGGCTCGTCTGCACCCAATGCCGCGCGCTTCCGCTTGGTTGGTTGCGTGGCCCGCTTTTCGGAAAAATTTTCCCCGCGCGCTGCGCGCGCGGCGAGGTTGCTTCTTAGCGTTCCCCACACATGGGGCGCGCCCCCGCCTTCGTCTGTCGCTTGAAAAATTTTCTCCGCGCGCTTCGCGCGCGCCCTTGCTGTCTCTGCCTTCTTCTTGCCCGCGAAGTGTGTCGGGTTCGTTGGCTACCCTGCGCCCAATGCGCCCGCTCCCTCGCTTGGCTGCGTTTCCCGCTTGTCGGAAAAATTTTCTCCGCGCGCAGCGCGCGCGGCGTGGTTGCCTCGCCACGCTACCCGCGCCCACCGCGCGCCCCCGCTTGCGATGTCACTTGGGAAATTATCTCCGGGCGCTGCGCGCGCGGCTTTGTTATTTCTCTTTTCTCGGCCGCGAGGTCCGCTTTGTTTTGCACACCCAGTGCGCCCAGCCCCGCCTGGTTGCGTGGGTGGCGGGCCCGTTGGCCTGAAAGGAAAACGAACCGCGTCCGCTTGCAAGGCGAGGCCGTTTCTCAGCGTTGCCCACACATGGGGCGCGCTCCCACCTCCGTCTGGCGCTTCGCGGTGCTGGGGCTTCGCGCATCGCTTGGCGCGTGCGCGTGTGTTCGGTTTTTCCGCTTCTGGGTGGAGGTCTTTTGATTTTCCCCGGAGGTGTTTGATTTTTTCTACCGTATTTTGGAGGTTTTCGGCCGCTGGCCTCGAATGGGCGGGACGAGAAGACTTTCGAGAAAAAGCGAGAACCTCGAGAAAAAGTGAGAACTTCTCGAGTTCTTGCCATTTTCTCGCTTCTCTCGGTTTCGGACGAGTTCCATTTGATTTTTTCTACAGCTGTAGAAAAAATCAAAGCGAGGCGTTTGTTTCTTGTGGGAAAAGCCGTCGTCTTTGTGTTTTCTCGTTTGATTTTCTCTTTATATCTTTTCTCTTCTTTTTTCTCTTTTATTCTCGTTATGATTTTTTCTACCGTTTTTTGATTTTTTCTACCATCACTAGAAAAAATCAAATATTTTATGCGCGGCGACTGGAAGAACGGCAGTAACCCAAGTTTATTTCGTCTTGTATCGTTTTCAGTATTACAAATTTGATCGTAGTCTTGGTCCGAGTGGTTCTGGAGGTTGTTAGGTAGTGCGTTTCGAAAAAATGCGAAATGTGCTCCAAGTTGCCGCTCTAGCATTACAAACTACTACTTTTTTGCCCCTTTCCTTCTTCTTCTTTAGCGAAACACGATAAGCCGGGCACAAACGTATTGTCCTTGTGTTTATTTCGACTTTCATCGTTTTCAGCATTACAGAATTGAGGTCAACTCCCTCTTTTGTGCTTCTCTCTTTCTTCTTTATAACCTGATCGGCAGTTGCTCGCCTCGTTTTTTATCTTTCTGTCTGCGAAAAAAGATCGAAGTTTTTGGATATTAACCTGCGAAAAAAGATCCGGAAATACGGAGAAAATTCACCTTCAGTTGCTTAGCTTGTTTAGGCTGTGCAAAATTCCTTGTCGAGTATCAAAAAAGCCGCTCCATTTTTGAACCCAAACTGATAGTTGATTGGCACATCCGTAAGAATAAGGTGAAGCAGTGGCCAAAGCTTTCGCGGGGACTTTTAATTGTTGAAAAGCGCATGACAGACCTGTTGTTCGTCTTTTAACACGCTGCTACGAGAGACACGGGGAAAACAACAAAAAGGCTGAGAGAACTCAGAACCATTGACCTCAAGCAAGTACGATGTTGACAACGGCGAAAACAATCAGCCGCAAGCTTGATGCCGCCTTAGTTGCAAAAAACGCTTCGAAGAAGCTTTTTGGTTGCAATATTGAACGGTGGACGTGCTACTTCTACTTGCACTTGTACTTCTTACCATAAAGAACTAGCGGCGGTTCATAAAAAAATCATACGTCGGACTGGATCCAATCCTGAACGCCGGTTTGTGGATGTACTGGTGTGTTGAGCGTAGGTTGTTTATTTTTTATCGTGTGAGGATTAAGATATTGGCTTTTTTCTCCTGGTCGCCGACACTTCCACTACTAGGCCGTCGCAACCAGGATGCAATAGAGTACATACTTTGTGTCATCTAGAAGAGGACACCCGTTTGATATTTCGTAGGGGAATAGAAGTAAACGAAGATGGCGGCGTTTTTCTGGTCGTGTAGTTTCTCTGTGGTTCTGGTCACCTTCGCAACGGCCAGCAGCACGAACGTCGTTGCAATCAAAAACGCCTCGAGAACTACCACCTCATCTGCTTCACCACCGTCCCATCTAATCCAGAATCTCGCAAGACGGTTTTTCCTATGGAGAGAAAAAAGTTTGTCACAGTCACTAACTTGCAGGTTTTGCATTACAAATTTTCTCAGCATCACAAACTTTCCTTGTATTGCAGAAACACTAGGGAAATCCAAATCCCTAATGAAGTTTGGCTGTGATGCATTTTTACGCATGACAAACAATTTTGTATTGCAGGAATGCGCATGAGTGATCGTGACGAACTTTTTTTCTTTGATATTTCCTGCCTCGTGATTATTCCGCCTCAGCGCAGCGGGAGGTGCAGGAGCTTGCTTCCCGATTGAAAAGCCGGGAACATATCAAAAGGAAAAATCCCCCCTCCCCATATTGAAAACGCAGCCTTCTGAAAATTCGTGATGCAGATTTGTGGCTACAAATCCTGACTGTGTTGCAAGAAGGCAAAGCCAGAGAGTCCGCCGTATTATGCAGGCGGTTTGTGATGCTGTTGGGCCTACAGTGCGGATATTTTTCATGCTAAGCGCCTAGGCCAAAGCCTCGCTTTTCGCACTTAGTATGGGCCTGCAGTGCTCTCCAGCAAGACATCTAGGATTTGCGTACGCAAATCCAGCATCAGAAATTCCGTTTTGATATGGGGAGGGGGGACATTTCCTTTCGATAAAACAGGATCGGGAACGACCAGCTGGCGGGGGCGAGGATGCGGGGTCTACTTCTGCATCTGCTCCCTTGTTGCTTTCCGTATCAAGTGCAAAAATGTCTGGATCTGGAAGATGCAAGCTCTGTCATGCAGCTTTCGCATGGGCCAGAAGGTCTGGAATGTGAGCACTAGCATCACAAGTTTTGAGAAGGCCCTCTAATGCTGAATGCGCATGAGAAATACCGCCTTCTGGTAACCAGAAGTGAGGACTTTTGCTGGTCCCGCAATACAGATTTTTGTGTCGATCAGATTTAGCATGACAAACTCGGACTCTTCCAGACCCAGATGACATATTTGCATTTGATATTCCGGACTTTCCAACAACGACTTGCTGGAACAGCGACTGTATCCTGTGCAAAAGTATCGTACTCGTAGTAATTGCAGTCATGCATTACAAATTTCTTTCTTAAGTTAAATCCGCATTACAAATTTTATTTCTCATGCTGAGGAAATTTGTATTGCAATTACTATATATTATATTCATGCGAAAAAAGAGGTAGACAGAGGGTAAACAAGAGGTGGCCGAGAGGTCAAAAAGAGGTCAAAAGAGGTAGAAAAGAGGTCGACAGAGGTGGAGAGGTGGCGCGGGACCCCATTCGCGAGGGTCGGCGAGAGGGTGCGCGAGTATAGCCCGCCGAAGCGCTCACCCTAAAGCGCCGCCTAAGTGCCTGAGAGGGTGCAGAGAGGTCAAAAAGAGGGGGCGCGAGAGGTCGACAGAGGTGGAGAGAGGTGGCGCGAATAAGGTGCGACCTCTCGCGGACCCTCTTGGCCACCTCTCGGCCACCTCTGTTGACCTCTGCCCACGAGTATAGCCGGATTATTAGCGGGGACCCCCAAAAGAGGTCAAAAAGAGGGTCTGCGGGAGGTCTGTGAGAGGGTAAAAGCACACCTAAGCGGGCGCGAATCCCCATGGCACTCCCCGTATTTGGCATTGCAGGCCATTCGCGGACTTGTTTTGTTCGGCGCCTTTCCGCGCCACCCCCACGCGCACCCTCTCGCGCCACCCTCTCGCGCACCCCCTCGCGCAAAACCTCTCGCGCAACCCTCTCGCGCAACCCTCTCGCGCCACCCTCCCGCGCCACCCTCTCGCGCTACCCTCTTGCGCTACCCTCTCGCGCCGGGCGGCTTCTGTTCGCCCCCGGTGTTCTTTGCAGCTGCTCCCTGCGCAGAGCGCCCACAGGCGCGGGAAGCGCGCAAGTGGTCCTGCGGGTTGGCGCGGCGCAAACTCCAGTATGTTTCGTTGTGAAGGACTCCAGTATCTTTCGCTGTGCACAGGCACGTGGCGTTGTGGTCCGATCGGCAAACTGTCTTGCCCCGGCCCAACAGCCTTGCGCTCCGGCGGCAGCCGGAGCATGGCTGGTTTGTACTAGTGCGATGCTTTTGCATTTCATAGACTGGGCGAGGAACTGTTCGTGCGTGCAGGAATAGACGATAACTTCGAGCAAGGAGTGTGGGACGCGACCAGAGATTCCTCTGCTGGTGCTCCTCGTGATTCTGACGTGTATGGATTGTAAAAATGTCTGGGTCTGGAAGAATGCATGTTTGTCATGCTTGTCCGGCATGACTCTCAAATCTGTCATGCACCTTACCCAAGAGCGCCATTTTTCTGTCAACATGCAGAAACGCAGTTTGTCATGCAGAATACGCAGCACCTAGAAGCTCAGAAACTTGTCATGCTGAGCCAGCACTTGCGGCCTCCGCATGATACGCCACCCAGCATCACAAGTTTCCAGACCCAGACATATTTGCATTTGATAAAGCGACGACCGCACCGACGACGCCGTCCGCCGTGACATATGCAAGAAAAAAACTGTGTAAGTGTAAACTTGTGTTGCAGAAGATGCAACAGAGTTACGCCTGTCATGCCAGACAGCTATGAAATCCTCTTTTCATGTGTGTTTTCCCTTACAAACCACACATGACAGGTTTTCTCTGTCATGTAGAGCAAATTTGTGATGCTGTTCCTCAAAGAAAGTTACACTTACACACTTTTTTTCGTGGATATGACACAGGCAACCTTCAACCAGGTGGACCTTTCCAAGAAGCAGCAGGAGGGCTCTACTGTAGTACCTTCCAACGAGCAGCCCCCTCTCGTCGACCGACCCTATTTGACTCCGTTGGAGTGCTATCAAGTGCAAATATCCCTGGATGTCTGGAAGAGTAAAAACTTGTCATGCAGAATTTCTATGCCCCATGAGGTCTGAAATGCAGGATCTAGCATGACAGATTCTACTGCAAGGTCTCTATCATGCCTGTCCTGCATGAGAAACTCCCTCTCATGGTGGGCAGATGCGGGCAACTTTTGGTGATCACGCAAGACAGATTTTTGTGTGATCCACAGGACGCATCACAAGTTCCGCTCTCCCAGAGGACCCAGACGTATTTGCATTTGATAAGTGCCATCGCGTCGCCAAAGTTCTGCTGAACGCAATTCAGCCCGCGGGGATTATCCTGTGCAAAAGTATCGTACTCGTATTGCAATCATGCATTACAAATCTTTTTCTTAAGGTGAAGCAGCATTACAAATTTTATTTCTCATGCTGGAAAAATCTGTAATGCATTTCTACGAGTACGATGCCTTTGCAATGCATAGGGATACTGCGGGTGCTATCCTGTGTAAAAACGTCCCCACCACACACTTGTAATGCCAATCTGCATGCTGAAAATATTTCTCATGCGGAGCCCCATGAGAAGCATTTTCTAGTTGTGTTTCGGAATCGGTCATGCTCCAATCAGCATGACATGCTAGATCTGTGATGCTGCTTCACTACTAGCTGATGCTGAACAGGATTACACTACGAGGCCAATTGTCATGCGCAACAGCCAAAGCAATTTGATTTGTCTAGCAGATTTCCCATGTTGATTATGGGGTGGGGACCACGGTTTTCAACATGATAGGTGCCGTTGCGGGCTTATCAGAACATCGCGGACCCCTTGGTGTTGAAATTCATCGCGAAGTGTATGGGCGGAGTCGTAGAGAACGCGCACCTAGTGCCGGAAACCTGTTGGTCAACCTGCACTCTGGCGGACGTGTTTTTGAAAAGATACGCCAACCACGACATCGAATGGGGTGATTATCAAAAGGAAAAATCCCCTCTCCCCATATCGAAAACGAAATTTGTGAAGCTGTATTTCAATACACAAATCGACTTGTAATGCTAGAAGGCCAAGCGCCGCAATTGTGGCCTCGTTTGCAGGCAATTTGTCATGCCGTTTCCCGCTTCCGGCTGCCTCCTGTCATGCTGAGGATGCAACGCTTTCCCACGCCAACCACAACTACAGTCCGCATCTTTATTTCCCTCCTAGCATGACAAAGCTGATTTGTGGCCGCAAATCTGCATCACAGATTTCTGTTTTGATATGGGGAGGGGGGATTTTTCCTGACTATAGTGATGACGTTGTAATCCCGCAGATGTTGGCGCAGCTTCGCGAGCACCTGCGCAGCTGGTCTCACGCCCGGGAAAACGAGAAAAGGTATGCATTGCAAATATGTCTGGGTCTGGAAACTTGTGATGCTGAGTTGCGTAGCATGAGGAGGCCAAAAGTGATGGCTCAGCATGACAAGTTTTCGAGCTTCTAGGTGTTGCCTTACTGGTGTAACGGACCCCCAAAATTACGGAGGTCGAAACTTGCAATCAAGTTGCCAAAGACTTGCGCGACCCAGCACATTCGAGGTCGTGACAGCTTCAACATGAGCTGTTCTGTGACGCACCTTTGACACCGGCCGGCTTTGCAACTAACAACAAGACGCGAAGCTGTGGCACGGTGCAACGCTTTTCGTGCCTTGACGGGCGCAATATGATTGGGCAGAGTCGCTACGTCTTAAGCTTTCTAACGGGCGCGCTCTGAGGGAGCATTTAGTTTTATTTTCTTGCTTGGCTCAGTGAGAGGAAAAAGAGGGGCGACCTTTGTTTCACTATCTTGAAGGCTGTTTCTAAGTTCTCTACTCAACAGAGACTAAAGCGCGTCTGACATCTAGGCGCCCTACGAATTCAGGCTGAATCGTAACGACAATGCGAAGGAGAACGATACTACGATGAAGCTCTGCCAAAATTAAGTAAACCGACCTTCTTCTTTTTTCACGAAAAACCGACCGGCAGAGCAGACGAACGCGACTGCGCGACTGGTTGCACGACAAGCGCGACGACTACGAGCGCCCGCACTTGTATCCCGCCCGGGGAGGCGGCGGCGACGCGTCTCATCGTACCGAAAACTGACGCACAGAGTACTCGACAACCAGGAGAAGACACCATATTTATGCGAAAACCGAAGCAGCATATCTTTGCTGAATGTGGTAAGGAGAAAGACCGATGCCCCATGTCAGTGAGCGCCGACCACTCACCGAGCAGGCGCACAAGTGGCTCCACAGGTCCACTCTCCCGACAGCACCGAGCTGGCCAAAGAGCGCGATAGGAAAAAAGCGAGGCGGCCCCGGCGGGTGTTCACGAAAAACGCCCGTCGGCCGTTTTTGCTTGTCTAGCTTCTTCCTGCTGCGTCAGTCATGATTTTATGCCGTTGCGTGCATCTCAAGCGTATATTTGCGAAAGCGTCTATGTGCGTAATTTAGCGTATATGTGCGAAATTCATTTTCATTGGCCAAGTTGCGTTTTGGTTTCGAAGTCGGCACAACGTGCGCTGCGAGGCTTCCATATTTATTCACAGATCGTCATCCGAGTCGTCTTCGTCTTCAGTATCAGTGTCCTCCGTCACGTTTTCCATCTCGGTGACTTCCAACGCAGCTGCCCCCAGCTCCGCGTCGTCCCACCAGCGAGCAAACTCGCAGGTAAAACCGACATAAACCACAATGTCGTATGGTGCCGTCTTCTTCTTTCCAAGCACGGCCCGTATGTTTTCGAACCGGCTGGTGTTGTCACGGAAGGCTTGGCGCCGCACTGCCTTGAGTAAGTCCCGGAACCGCTTGTCCCACAGCCCCAGGGTCGCAGCTCCGGTAGTGTCGTCTCCGCCGTTTGCGCAGCTGAATATGAACTGCAAAAGCATCGCAATAGTATGAATTGCGTCACAAATTCAAATTCATCCGCCAAGTACAAAAAAGCAATTTGTCATACTCCTTCGGGTAGAAAGTTGGGCGTGTCATGCATGATTGCAATTGCTACTAGTCGATGCTTTTGCAGTGGACACTGAAAGCTCCCCAACCGTACGCCATGTTCAACGTGCGTTTTGGTCCGCGCCCGAAAGAAACGCCGCACTCCTTCCTGTAGCCCAGGTTCTTCGGCAGCCTTTCCCCTTCGTCCAAGGCGTGCTCTATCGAGTTCTGCAGGATCAAGAAGAGCTTCATCCCTGAGAAGGGTCCGCATACTTTCGTGCAGGAAAGGAAGAACTCGTGTCTGCTGACCTGTCTGCGGCGTTTTCCGTCCGTCTTCTGCAGCTTCAATACGTTGGTCTCCATTTTCGCAAAGAGGTGGTCCTGCATATACTTGACGTACGCCGCGTCCGGGTCCTCGTCCTTTTTACCTTTCTTACCCCCGGCAGGCATGTAGAATTGTTCTTTTTTGCGGTATTTCTGCACGCATCCGGGTTCAGACAAAAGACGCTTTGCTGAATGCAGCATGCGCTCGGGGTCGATTGCGTCGCCGGCGTCGCTGTGGTGTGACAAAATAAATACGTGAGTGAGAGTGGATGCGGGGCAAGAAGCTGAAAAAACAACCACCGAAACCGAAGGCAAACGGCATTTGTATAGTCAGAAGAAGAAATGTGCGCAGAACAGCTGATGAGCATGATTTTCACGCATAACAACGAATAGACTGTACTAGGCTGCGGCAAATGTGAAAAGTTACTACTTACCTGCCCGCCCCGTCTGCCGCTCCACTCAGATCCTTTTCAAGATCATCCAGGAACTCGTCAGATGGGCTGCGCGCAAGAACCAGCGCTGTCCTGACGCGCGTGTTCCACTCTTCCCGCGCGGAGCTGCCCTTCGTTCCTTTTACGCAGCGGCTCACGAAGTTCATTCGTTTCGACCAGGCGGCACCTGGGGGAGTTTATTTTGGTGAATTTCCAAACGTAAAGGTAAAGCTGCAACCGGACCCATATTCTGCCCCGACCTTGCCTCACTCACAAAGCGCGAGACTGTGCCAAAGGATTTACCAGCGCTGCTTTTCCTCCTTATACTGGCCGACGCCGAGAACAGCTTCAAAAATGCAAACTCTTGGTTTGTGGTAGTGGCCCCACAAAGGAAAGCACTGCACTAATTTCGAACGCAAGCAAACGACAAAAAAGGAGATCACCACACTCACCTTTGGCCTCTTGCTTCGCTTTTTTCCTGAGCCATGTTCGCGCGATTTGGAACTTGCACTCCATTACCCCCTTCGTTATCATCTCGGACCGGGGTGGGGGAGAACCCTTCCGCCTGTGAAAGGGGTTTGCGTACCTAATCACGGTGACAGAAACGCTCTGATCTGCCGGGGCCGGTTTGTTTGCCACTGTCTCGCCACCAAGTTCGCGAAAAAACCGGCACATTTCTTCGAGCCAGAACAGAAAAACGATCATGAACTGGGCTCTGTCTGCGGGCGCCCAGTTTTTTCCGTTCCCCGGCATCGGTAGCAGGTGGGGGGCCGCGCGCTGATTTTGAGAGAAGCCGCTGTGAACGGAGGACGTTGGTGCAACACTGCTGCGTCTACTCGCGCTAATTATTGGAAGGCGAAGGTGGTTTTATTTCTTCGCGCAGAGACAGTCGCACGCACACCCTCGGAGACGAAGGCAGGCCCATTTGGCCAGGGTTAACGGGCGAGCATGCGAAGCAACATCTTGGATGATTGGCAACGTTTTTTAATTTGGCCGCTTCTACCTTGGACGAATGGCCTCGGTGTGATCGTTTCTTTCTATCCTTGAAGGAACTAGATCCGACTGGCGTTCAATTATGGGTCTACTGCTGGAAAAATCGCTTGCGTCCATTCTATCTAATACTGGCCACACACACTCCCGAGCTACGTACGCGCAAAACCTGGGGAGCCAAGCAGCGATCTCTTTGCGGCCTTGCTTTCGATTTTCTTGCGTTGGTCCTCGCTTTCGTGCGTCTGCTGATGCTTGTCACGTTCATACATAGCAGCCACCTGCCTGTCCAACGCTGAACAGAGAAAACAACGGCGGCAACCTTCGCAACGAACTGGAAGGGAGAACAACCTCTGCAGCCCTCTTCTGACTTTTTAAACATTCAAATGCAACCGCGCAAGGCGCGCGCCACCAGGGCCCAGCTTAAGAGGCGCGGAAGCCGCTCCGGCGTTGCTAGGCGGGGCTCCTGGGTGCGTGCCCGCCGGGGCGGGCGGCCACCACCGCGAGCCCAGATAGGCGCCGCCCCGCCAACGGCCAGAGCAAAAAAATGTTGGCGGCGGGCGGCGCGGGGCCGCGGCGGGGGGGGCCGATAACATGCACCACCGGCCGCCTGGGGCCAGCGCCACAACGCGCGGCCGGGCACGCCCCCTTGGCCTGTGTGCCAAACTGCTAGCGGTGCCGGGGCACAAGCCAACTGCACACGAATGACGCGCGGACGGGTGAAGCGACACACCGGAAGGGCCGGGCCGGGGTCGCGCGCGAAGGCAGGCTGCGCAACGGGCGCAGGGAGGCCGGGGAACTAGGCGGCGGCGCCACCCGCGCCGCCAGTCTGCCCCTCGCCCTGGGCTGCGCCCGTGTTCAAGAAGGGCCTTGGGGCTATTCCGGCCCCTGCGCTCGCTGCCGGAAAGCAATGTGGATGGATGCGCGGGGCGCCCCGGCGCTGCTCCGCACCAAATAAAGCGCGCTGCGGCTTTTCCGGCAAAAAAGCCGGGCCCGCGGCGCCATCGATAAAAAAACGGGGGGCGAGCCATGCTGCGCCCGCTCCTGAGCCCACCATCAAGAGCAAGCGGGCGGCCTACCCTGCGCGCCTGTCCTCTAAAATAGCCGGTGAGGCGGGGAGCAGGGCGGGCCGCTTCCTACCTTGACAGGCACACCTGCGCGCCGAATCGAAAAAAGAAAGGTCGCGACAAACTGCCACGAAAATCCAGCCGGCATCCCCCAACCTGCGGCGGGGCCCACCGAGGCTGGGCGGCGCTGGGAAGAAACGAGGGGGGGCACACGGCGGCGGGGCCCAGGCCTCTAAAATTGCATGGCGTGCGGGGGGTCGGCAGTTTGTTTGGCGAAGGAAAGGGGGGCAACATAGGCGAGCCAAGGAGGGCACGGAAACAGGAGAGCGCCGCCGGGCAAGACTGCGCGGCACACTGAGGAAAGGGTCCTGCGGGGCGCCTTTTTCTGTCCAGACCGCAGCACCGCTTCCGCTGGTTGTGGCAATTACAACGGCGCACGAAATTACGGCAGCAGGCGCTTTGAAAAGAAAAAAAGACTAGCGCGCCCGGTAAAGAAAAAAGGCGCGCCTATCTACCTTTGCCCCAAAGCTTCGTGCCGGCGCCTGGCTAGACCAAAAATGCCGCCGGCGCCGGCTGGATCGCCTGAACTTTTCGGCAAGCCTCTTCCGCGCGCGAGCTGCGGCGCGAACTCCACATGAGCGCGGACACCGAAATAACGGGTCAGGGGAATTCCCGCGCTGGGTGCATCGAGCAACACTTTCGTCCGATGTTCGAAACAGATGATGATGAACTTCGCAAACAGCTACTTACAACATGCCATCAGATGAAGGATCATACTTTTCACGTGCGGGCCTTAGCGTAGGAACCCTGAAGCCGGCGGCCTGCTGGGGCAGGCCTGACACACACACCAGCCACGTTTTTTTCTTTATCTTTACTTCTACCTACTACTACTTCAGCACTCTGGTGAGCTATGTATTGCTAGCCTGGACTTGCTTGCTTGCTTGCTGAAGTCCGCGACAATGGTACGCAGCACGCCGGGCCGCGCAACGCTTTTACGCGCCGCGACCTACTCGAGGCCACGACGCAACGCTGCGGCCACAACACTGTCCACCTGCCTCGCGTCTATCTCTAACTATACTCGAAGTTGACGTTGACGAAAGCATAATACTATCGGCACCTGTCGCGCGATTTGCTCACGTGCGTCGATAGCCATGGAGCTCACTGGGGAAGGAGTTCATGCTTTGGGGCTATACATAGCGTTCTTTTTAAGGTATGCAATACTGTTTGGAGCCAACGAGAAACTTGCGACTCGGTCGGTCTTCTATTTTTTTGGTGCCATTGATTGAACTAGAACTTGAGGAAAGGAGAATAATGTAGCTAGAGACTTGGAACGAAACGAGGACGGAAAGGCGCGAACCTCCGCGACCTCGTGCGACATCCCTTTTTACTGCTGGACACAATCGCTGTCCTTGCAGGGCTGGAGCTTCTTTTCGCTGCGCTCGGGCTCTGGTTCATCGCTGTTCTTGCCACTGCAGTTCCGCGAATACGGGCCAAAGCGGAAGGGGGCGTCGGCCAAACCCAAGCTCGCATGCTGCTTGCGCCCACGGTCGGCCAAACCCAAGCCGCGTCGGTTATTTCCACCGGGTCCAGAGCGTGGTAGACTGGGCGGACCGCTGGCACTGCTACTGCTTGTTCCGCCACCGCCAGAGGACGTTCCGGAGTTACCACCACTTGCTGGGCCGCTACCACCACCACCACCACCTCCGCCGCTGCCACTTCCCCCACCATGTCCTCCTCCTCCTCCTGGTGCTCCGGGGCCGCCGCCACCACCTCCGGCGGCGCGCTCCCGGGCGGCCTGCGCAACCAGGTTGTCGATGCTACCTGCTAAGTTTTCGACGTTGAAGAAATGCTCAACAGCATGGCCCTGGTTCTGTTGCGGGACAAAATAACAGCACTTCTAGCGAGGTTGAAAGCAGCTTTGCGATTCGAGTGAGAAAAGGGGCCAAGATGCATGACAAAAGGAGCAAACATAGTAGGACAATACCACTCAGCTTGAACGCGCCATCCGTCAAACCCATCAGCTCCAGGTGCTGCCCTAACACAGCGCCAACCTGTAGAATTTTCATTCTTCACGATCGTCACGATTGTCAAACGGAATCAATGCCAACAACGCATGCTGAAGAACTGACGGTAATAGAAATAGTTTCGGAAACGCGACATATTTTCGAGAAGTTCGAAAGCGCAAAGCACGAATAATTCTAGTACGTAGTCGCGAAAAAATGGCAATAATTTCGAGAGTAGATGCGGCGCTATATTTAACGCCAAGTGCGTAGACATAATACTTTTCTGCAAAGGGAATAAATAGTACTAAGCCGATGCTGTTGCGCTCTGCCTGGCGGCTGTTCCGCTGCAGTCTGCCAACCTGGTCCTTCAGGCGAGCCAACTGCTCCTCGGCCGAGCGCTGCTGTGGCATTTTCACTGTTCGTTCTTTAGCCTTAGTTTTTACGCCCTAGTAGAGAAAACCAGCGCCGTCAGTGTGCGCTTGATTGTTGTGCTTTCCAACCTCTCTCGCTGGCTCGCAGGGTTGGGTGGCCGTTCGAAACGCTTCTAGTGCTAGCACCCACGTACCCAAAAACGAATCAGAAGTGGGTCTCTCGGTGGCTGACCTTTCTCAAACAAGAATAGTAACAATGTGCCGCCTGGAACGAAGAAAACAACAACAACGTGCTGCCTGAGCCTTCGTCGAAACGCCGAACCAAAGAACACGACCACCAACGGGGCCGGGGGGCAAACACAATACCCACACACAGGCACTGCGGGCCTCTTCACTTCAAGGCGGGCGCCTGGACGAGCGCGCGAGCTCGGCTTTGACTTCAAGTAGCTGCTTTTCGTGCGTCACTCTTTAACTTCTAAACGTTTGCTTCGGTTCTTCTTCTTTTCGGGCAGCAAACAAATGCGTTTTGATTTTGCAGCGGCGTTCCTCTTTTTACAAATGAACGCCAGCTCTGGGTCCGGGGTAGTGACAGAGAGACATCGACTTTTACGCGAACCAATGGAACAAGAAGTGCCCAGCTACGATAAGTAGACGCAAACACGCTGGCTTTACTGCTTGTGCTTCACCTGCAGGAACTTCTCTTCACTTATTAAAAGCACTGTACGGGTAAACTTCTACTTTCAACAGAACTAGAATTAAACTCTGCTGTCACTTACAAACGTCCGTGCTCGTTTCACTATGCTAAGAACCAAAGACCGGGAATTCGTGCTGAAACTAATACAAAGAACGCGCACACTGTTGGGGTGTGTCCGTAGAGGTTGAAGACAGGTTTCGGGTTAAGATTACGTGCTAAAAAGACATACAAACTCCGCGGCGACTGCTTGCTAGTTCGAGAAGTGTAGCGCAAGAAGTGATGAGAAAGATCATAGTCGGGAAAGCTACGTGCTCGCCCACAATCGTCCATGTTGCAGATAAAGGCACGGAGGCCCGAATTTGCACCAGCGACGAGCTTTATACCATTTTGATTTTCTATCTAACTTTCCACGCCGCCAGCTTTGCAAGCTACTGGAAATCCAGTTTCATTTTTTGGAAGCGACGATGCTGATCCTATTGGTGGAGAAGAAGTTGAAGCGTTTCGATTTTCCTGGAGTGCTGCGGTTTGATCGCGGTAGTTACTGCGAAGACCGACTCCGTACCCAACTAGAGTTAACCCGCTTTGGGCTTTTTCGCGGCGTTGCCACCCGCAGCGGACCCCGTGTTGTTTCTGCGGTTGCTGGAGGAAGTGTTGTTCACGCGGCTGCTGGAAGCGGTGTTGTTCACGCGGCTGCTGGAAGAGCTGCTGGAAGCGCCCTGACCGAAGTTGACCCCCGAGGCGGTGGAAGCACTGGAGCTACTGTTTCCGCCCGCACGCACCTGATGTTCTTCTTTGGTATTCATTGAGCAAAGCATAAAGTTGGTGGCCCGCCTACACAAAGCCCAGCCGGTATTCTTGCGGCGGGCTTTCGTAAATGAGTGATGAAATTGCGCGCAGTCGGTCAGCAAGCTCTCTATTGCAAACGGATCTTTTTGAGGGTGCCCCATTACAGTCAGCGCCGCCATGCAAAGCAAACTCCGATCATATTTAAATAATACCTTTTCGCCGGGCCCGCTTCCGACCAAAGTGGTGCGGAGGTCTACCGGAGCCGAAATCGTGGGTCGGGACACTGGCGGACCGGTGCGGATGTTGGCACCGGAGGCATTGGGGGCGTTACCTGTGTTTTATTTTGAAGAACGTTTGTAGTTGGCGTCACTGCTACTGAGCGAATCGATCTACTGAAAGCATCGACCCACGCAAGACGTGGTGGCTAGCACGGACGGAGCATTCAAATAATGGAACGGAAGATCGAGACGATCACGAACAAAAGCACCTCCCACAGCGGGCCCACCTTTTCCATTGCCCTTCCCGAAGGACAGGGGCTCGTCGCCGACAATGCCGCGGACGGAGACCGCGGACGCCTTCGGCTCCGCCCGGAGCGTTTCCCGCTTTGGCTTTTGCATGACCACGTGGATCAAGTCGCCCAGCGGCTTGGTGTGCACGATGTGGTAGCTGCTGAGCATCGCGGAGGCGTCGACCAATGCCTGCGCCGGCTCCATATATTCGCAGGCATCGACGCGCTGCTCGACGGCAGTAAGCTCCTGCGCGCAGTTTCGGTCCCAGTACGCTTTCAAAAATTTCACCTGAGTATAGTGCGCCGGAAATCGTCATGCTGCTGCACATGGATGCCCTTCCCAAGAATGGGGCCCACGTCATCAGCAAATCAGCAAAAAAGTAGAAGCACTAGTATCAGCAAAAAAAGTAGTAGAACGCAATTTATCGGAAAAGCAAAAATCTTAGCACCATCGTAGTTTCCTTCAATCCAGTCACTCGGTTCTTCACCTTCATTTCAAAGTCTTCCGCTGTCACCGCGTCATTGAATTTCGCCGAGTTGAACTTGAGGATTTCCAGACGCACTAAGTGCGGCAGCAAGTCACGCTTGTCGTGGGAGTACGCCTGCTCCACCAAGAGGGCGCTTGCGCTCAAAATCTCCAGCGACTGGGTGACACAAAAATAATTTTGATGGGCGGAAACGAAGGCCTTCGTTCGAAAAATCCGCGAACCGTCGGCCACTGTTCGGAGGAATTCCAGGTGGTCACCGAGCCTGTTGATATAGTAAACAGGGGTCAACAGCTGGAAGTCAGTGGGCGGATAAGTTGCAAACAGGAGGAATAGTAAAGGAATCAACAAGAGCGTGCATAATATAAACGGGAACTGGAAAAAACCAAACTAAAAAGAAGCTCGCATTATATACGCCTCAACAGCAGCCCGGTCCTGCTCTTTGGCGTCCACCAGGGCGGTGGAAAGTTTCCCTATGCAGGCGGCGACCTTGTCCACTAGCAAAAGATAATCCTCCTCGGCTATCTGGATCAGCTTTTTCAGGTATTGCACGTTCGAAGACGCGTACTTGCTTTGGGCCTCCAGGATGCCCACGGAGAGCATGAACGCGGTGGACGAGATAGCGTTGGCACTGCATTCCCGGTCCTGTTTCAATTCAACATGAAAACGCTTCAGAGTGCTTCTCACCTAACAAAACCCACAATCGCGACAATCTACACAAATGGCAGCTACTGAACCGCGCAGAACTATCGATTTTCGACCACGAACAAAAAGTAAAACAACCCAAGGAACTATCTCACCGAGAGCGGCACCAGCGTCGTCTTGATGGTCTCTAAACCGCGGCGGGAAACGAGCGCCCCTTCTCCGGTCTGGATGGCTTCCGGAAGGTCCGCGCGCAGGTTTGCAAACAAGCTGTTGTACTGGTTCGGCTCGCTGTTGCGAAAGAACCGCCCGAGCGCGTCCGTTGCTTCCAAAGACCCGAACAACCTCCATTTGATTTCCGGCGGCGCGGCGAGCACCTCGTTTGCAGCCACCGCCCTCCAGCGTGCCGCCACATCCGTGACCGTTCTCTCGTAGTCGAGGATATTCTGCTCCGACTCCAGGTGCTGGTTTGTGTTTCGGAACAAATATAAAAATCGAACTCAAAGAAACGGCTGGGCAGTGTGGCCCGGAATGAAATGCAAACTTGTTCGAGCAAAGATGTATTCTGGAATAGAATCACAACTGCGCGCGTGTTTGATTGTAAACTTACCGGTCTGAGCGCGAAGTACGCCGTCCACACGTCGTTCGTGGCGACCGGTGGTTCTTTCTCGTCATCCGGCTCGTACTTCATGCGGAACGCATCGGTGAACATGTGTTTCTTCAACTCCTCCGCGGAGCGGCCCAGCACACAGATTTCAAAGCGCAACCAGCGCAGCACCGGGGATAGCATCACGTAGTCCCAAGAATTCTGCAACCTGATGTACAAAAATTCGCGGGATATCACGGCAGCAATCTAGTGTCAGGCCGTGGCCACTGAGAGATGTGTCGTTGCTACAGCATCCGGATGGGACGCACCTACACAAGAGATCAAAAAAACCGGACGCACCTACACAAGAGATCAACAAGACCTGTCTCCAAACACAAAAAAAGTACCACTCCTTCCATGCATCCAAGTCGAGATTCTTCAAATGCCCGAGAGCGACGTCGAACAAGATGTTCCCCAGCACCTTGACGAATGCAGTGCGAAAACTATTTAAAAACGAGGGCAGCCACAGAAGCACAAGTAGAGCACGAGCCGCAAAAATACACAGCTGCAGGCACGCAGAACAAGATCCCGCGCCGTGCAGTTCCTTGCGTAATGAACTTAGAGTCTATTAGGCTGCATGCAAACGGCTGAAAGGAGAATCAACTGCCCCCGCCCCTACCTATTTCCAAACGAGTGATAACATGGCCGCGGGGAATTCGATCGGAAAAAACTTGTGCATGTTGATTCTGTCCTGGACGGGAATCCCATTCTGTTCCTCCACCGTTGGCAGCTGGCCGACGAACCACGCGTAGAATTCGTTCTGCTGGTAGTCGGCACCCGGCAGCGGCACGGTGATGAGCTTATTCTTCACTTCGTTGTACACGCCCTCGATATCCTTCCAAACGTCCGTTTTGAAAGGGGGCACGGCCCGCTCAATCAAGGCCCGGGCCCGTTCCTGTACGTGGTTTTTGTTGTTCAAGGGGATAGCCTAAAACTATTCCGCGTGGGTGGCCCCTGCGTCAAGGTTTAGAAGAAATCAAACGCGCGGAACCATGATTCAAGGCGGAAGACCACGCAGAACGCCACGGGCTGTTTGCCAAACCTGTTACGGAGTGCTAGCGCGCTCCCGCGGCCGATCTGCATCCCAGCAAACAAAGAAGTGGCGGGCGGGCGGGGCTGAGGCTGTCGGCGCAGACAACAAAATGAAAAATATAAAGCCGTGCTGCCTGCCGCCAGAAGCAGATAGGCCAGGCCGCGACCCCATCATGCCTGGTTGGTGTTATCGGGATCGGCCTGCAAGCGCGGAACCCCCACCGCCTTCGCCCAATCCATGCCCCCGCAAAGGCCGAGTCAATGCCCCCACCCGCCTAACATGGCTCCGCCCCTCGGGTGCCCAAAGTGCGGCGGCCTTGCGAAGACCTAAGAAAACCGGCGGGGGGGACAGAGGCTTGCTAGCTTCGTCCGTGCGGGGGCGCCGCGCGCCAATGCGCCAACACAGCAGCCCCCCGCGGCTCTGGCCCCACCGTATGCTAAACGTCCGCCAGCCCGGGCGACAAGGCGGGCAGACGCGTCCCACGAAGCGCGGGCGCAATTCCGCGGGCGCAGTTTGCACACATTGCGCCGGCCCCGGCCAAGGCGGGCGGGCGCAACAGGGAGCCGGCCAACATTCACAAAACAGAATCACGCGGGCCGCCGAGCGAAACATCCTTCCGGCTGGGGGCGCGCGGCCGAGGAAGCGGGCCGCGGCCCACCGGCTCGCTGTGCAAACCTGAACGCGCGTCGCAACACGTGGCCCCTGCCGGGCCACTGGCCCTCCGTACTGTGGTCGGACGGGTCTTCTTCGTGTTGTTTTTCAAGTTTCATACTATTCCGTTTGAAATCAGAACACGGTCTGAATTTGGACAATTGACCGTTCCAACCAAAGCGGCCTCCTCATCAGATTTAGACCGGGCGCCGATTATTTTGAAAGAGTGCGCCCTCTGCCGGTCGCTTGCGATTGTATGCGCCAAAAAAACAAGCCAGGCGCCCCTGATCAGCTGCCACGAAGCCGGCCCCGCGCGGTCGGAGCCGACAAAGCCACCGGAACCGGTCGGTGAGAAAACCCGGCGGCGGGCCCCACGGAGCGAGAGCGCGCGCCCAGCCAGGCGGCGAAGCCTTCCACCGGTGGCAACGCTGCTCACGGAAGGACTGAGGCGCGTGCGAGGCGTTTCGCCGGCCGGCAAGGCGGGCGCGGCCCTTGTAAGAATACCGCGACCGCACCCGCTTGCGCAGATCGATTGCGCTCCTGGGTGCCTGACGCAGCCGACGGGGCCCGTCGACTTCACTCAGAATCCAGCCATCCTGCAAACGACGCCGTGGCGCGTGCTGGCCCGGGGCGATCACAACACGCCACCCCCTCCCGCTCTCGCCGCTCAGGCCAACAAAATTTCGTCCCTGCGCAAATGCGCGAACGGAGGCTGCACTGTTTTCGCCGCTCCCCTGCCCGAAACCGAAACTGCGCCTGCTGGCCTACTAAATAGGGCCGCAGAGGCAAACTCTCAAGGAGATCACGCCGACCCTGCGGGGCCGGGCTGAGCCTGCCAGCCATACAACCGGGGCGGCCGAAATTCCGCCGCGCACCTTTCCCGCCCAGCCGGGCCGCGGCGCCAGGTTGGCCCGCACAGGCTGCAAAGCGCGGCCGCGCGCATGCTTTCGGGCTGCGGTAGCAGCAGCAGGCCGCCGCCTGCATCTGTCAGCTAGTTCCGCCCCCAGGCGCTGCCTTTTCCGATCTCGAACGCGCTTTGCATTCTGAACGCGCCTGCTCCCGCGAGCGCAGCCGCGGAACAAGTCCGCGACAAAGCCTTTGCATTTCCTACCTGAACACACAGCCACTCATTCACGTAGATGCCCTTCAACAAAAACGCCAGGTTGTCGTGATTATTTAAACCACGCCACAAGGAATCGATCTGGTGCGGCTTGCATATGGCGGCGGTTTGGGCTGGAGTATTTTTTTTTTCTGATTGCCATGGAGATCGCAGAAAACGTCTATTTTGCTCATTGTCATGCACATCAAAGTGCGCGGCATGATCGTCATGCAGATCCAGCAGTGCTATTGCTCGTGGTCTGACTGGCAGAAAAGTATTGCTCTCCTTTGCGCGGCTGCTTCGCCGGCATGTGGGGAGAACTTACCGTGCTGGTATTTGCAAAAGCGGCGGACATCGATGGCCTCTTGCGACTCACCATCGGTTCGCCGCGCTGTTTCCACCAGTTGCTTTTCGCTTAAACCCTGGCTGTGCCACTGCTTGAAGACCACTTTGCAGCGCTGGTAGTTGGCGCACTCCGGGTCCGGCGTCGAGGGTCCCACAGTCGCGAGGGCTGGAGTGAGAATGAATTTTCAATAGCAGACGCGGAGAAGTTTGGTATACACAGAGACCCAGGAGCGCTCATTTCTGTCACAAGCAAACGTCACGCAGACGACTTTGCAGCACGTAATTACGTTACCTCGGCTCACCGGCGGTGGCGTCGCCGGCTGAAAACCCGCGTCCGGAACGCACCGCGAAAGGTCTCGCGCTTTGGCCTTCGCCTTAGCTCCCTTGGGCTTAGCTTGACCGAATTCGGGGTTGAGCTTGGCCTGGACTGCCTTCCACGACAGCCCACCGCCCGTTGAACTCATATTGCAGGTGTCTGTTTGAGCTCAAAGAAGAAAGGAGCTACAGCGTGGCTATTAAATAGTGTGGCGCGACGTGTATTGCAGCCGGGCGATGAATGTGAAGCAGTTTTTCGCTCCTTATCGTTAGTGCTACTAAGCTGCACGAATACAAGTGGAAAGCTGCCAGATGGAAATCGTTTCACCACGCTGGAGAAGCCTTTAGCCATCTACCTTCACCGAGCGGACACGAAGAAAAAACGGAAAAAAAGATACTCAGTCGTTCGTTCTTCTAGAAATGGAATTCACGACGTCCGGCATTCTGATGCGCGTCCGCGCGACTGCAGCGGCAGACATCAGCTTCGTGAAAAAAAAACCGCGACGCCACTATTCAGCCAACACAGTGCTGAAAACGCCGACACCACTAACACAGGCCGGGAGGTAGGAAATTAACAACAGATATCGCGTTCTGGACCATTGCTTTGCATCTTTCAGACCAGTGCAACCACGAAAGAGAACACCCGACGCACCTCGGCTTGAAAAATGTCTGCGCGCGCTGGTACTATGGCAGGCCCCGCCAACTATGCTAACAGCTAGGGGTGAATAGCGGTGCCGCGGCCCGTGGCTCTTCTTGCCTACAGAAAAGCCCCTCGACGGCAACCTAGCGCGGGCACCGCATACGATTGCTTTCAAGAATTGAGACCAGCCCCACGCGACAGGGCGAGCGGCTGGCCTGATTTCACTTTCGTCCAGGTAGTAAAGGTTGGACGCCGGGATCGCGCTTGTGCGACAAAAAAAACTACTCAAAATGAGCCGGCCTTCCCGGAAATACGGGGGCAGGACACTGGTGGCCGGCGACGCACATGCGCCGTCGTGCGCCACCCAGGGACGGGACTACCACAAACACGCTGGCGAGCTGCCAGTTGGCAGCTCGCCGGCTGCCTGGGCTCCTACCACGGCCCCGAGAGGCCCTGCGCCACCGTGAAAGTTGGCCAAGAGGCGCGAGACATGCGAGGGCCAAGCGAGGGCGCTACGGCTTGCCGGGCTACGTACCTAAATGAATCTGGCTGCTCGGTCGGCTGCAGGGTTTTTCCCTCCCGCCGGCAGCAGGGCGGGCGCCGGCTCATGCTCCTGCGCTTTTCCCCATCCCCCGTCCCGGCGAAACGGGTCCCCGCCCAATACAGAAACCCTGGGTGGCCCAGCCGGGCCAAGGGTGCTAACCGGGGCTGCAAAAGCGGGGCCGGCGCCACGGGGGCGCGGCGACCCTCTGCTCCACCCCGGCCGGGGAAAGCGTTCCGGGCCGGCGGGTGGCGTGGCCAAGGGGTCGGCCTGTTCGTGCGTTGCATTTTTTCCCCGCCCTGCCCCCGTGCATCGTCCACACACTCGGCCACCGAGGTTCCGTCCGGCTGCTGCCTGCCAATGCATAGTGCGGCGGCCCGGCCGCGGGGGCATCGACGGGTCGGCGCGGGATAAGACCATGCGGGCTTCCCGCCAATGAATGGGCCGACGCAACAAGCCCACGGAAAACTGGCCCCCATCATCCCACGAGCCGACCCAACATGGAGGGCCGCCCGGCGGCACCTCTGCGGCCGAGCCTGGGCACATCGTGAGGCGCGGCCCCCCCGCTTCCGCGGGTGCTGGTCGCACGCATTGCGCCAGCCCCACACCGAACCGGCGCCGAAGAGCGCTGGCCAAGCAACACAAGCCACACTCACAAAACGAGATGCCCCGCCGCGGACTGCCAAACGGCGCACCCGGCTGGCCGCGCGCGGCCGACCGAAGAACCGGGCCCCGCCTGGCGCGCGGAGTGGGCCGCGGGCGGCACCGCGCCGCGGCGCAACACGTGGGTCCGGCCTGGGCACTGATCTGCCTACTGTGGGCGGCGAGGTGTGTTCTTTGTTACTAAAAATCGAAAACCTGTTGTTGAAAAATCGAAACACGCTCTAAATCCGGACAATTGACCTGTACAATCGTAAAGGCCAATTGTCCGGATTCAGGTCGTGTTTTGATTTCAAAAGCCCAACGATGAAGAAAACAATTGCGCGCACGGGCAAGCTTGTTCGGCAGTATTACATCCATGCACCACCGAGGCACGGGCAAGAAGGCCGAAAAGGACGCCGGGCCCGGTGATGCGCCAAAAAGCTCGAAGGGCCGCCCCTCCGGAGCGAGGGCGCGCGCCAAGGCGGCCGGCGAACTCTTCCGCCGGCGATGGCGACGCAACACTACTGGGGCGCGCCGCGCTAGAGCTGGCGCGTAAAGCCGTGCTCCGTCCCACGGAGCGGCCCGGCGCCTCTTGTTGCTGGAATAGCCCGGCGGCGCACCCGCCTGCGCAGCTTGGCGGCGCCCATAGCTTCGGCGGGGGCCCGCGCGCGCGGCCCCGGAGCAGCAGGAGCTGCCGGCACAAATCAAGAACGCCGCGCGCCGCCGGGGCGAGCGCCGCGCCGCGGCCGCCGGCGGGCGGCACTATCTTCGGGCGCGGCGTGCTCCAGCAAACAGCCGGGCGGCCAGGCGGGAAGCTCGGTCGACCATACCATGGGCGCTGGGGCGTGATACTTTTTAGCAGGGCGGGAACGCGGGCGAAAGTTTTCGCTTTCGCCATCGTGGCAACCTGCGTTCGCCATGCAAGCGGCGCTAGGGTGTGATACTTTTTACCACGGTGGCACCATGGGCGAAGAAAACTACCAAAAATCATGATTTTACCCCCCTCCCGAAGTGCGGCCGGCGCCTTCGGACGGCGCCGCCGCTTTTGCGGCTCGCAAATCGGCTCCGTCAGCTCGTGGACAGGCCTCAGGAAGTAGCCCAAAACTGGGCACGCCCGCGGGCGGCCGGAATCGCAGCAAAAACTTGAAATAAACTTGGAATAAACTAGCAAGCCGGGTCGATGCTTGAAAGCCATCGAAAGCTAGCCCCGGTGGTATGGTGGACGGAGCCCTTCAGATTTTGGGCCAAAAACGTCGGCAGATCCAAGTTTTTTTCGCCTGCTGCCGAGATGCTTCGGCGGAGGCGACGCATTTTCGCCAGCACTTTCGCTGGGTTGCAAGTTTGAACGCCGTAGCAGCCTGGCAAAAAGTATCACAACCTAGAGCCCACGGTATGGTCGGCGCCGCTTTCATCATTTTCGGCCTCCGTGGACTCATCCTGCCAAAAAGTATCACACCCTAGAGCCGATGGTATGGTCGACGCGGGTTTTGCCTGTTTTTTTGCATCCATGATAGCACCGCGGCAAAAAGTATCACACCCTCTGGCCGATGGTGTGACACTTTTGATTTTCTTCATTTTCGGGACCAGTTCGAACCCGTCCAAGCACTCACGGCGCGCAAACACAGGCCACCAACCATCGCGCGTGAGCGCCCCTATGCGTATAAGCGTAGGGGGCCCGAAGCTGCTCGCTCAGGGTCGCGCGGGGCTTTGTGCATTATAAAAAGGCATCCGGGGCCCGAGAATGCGGGCCCGATGCGTCGCCTGAGCGCGCAAGCCCTCCACCTGGGGCCGCTTCGGCATCGCCAACAGGCCTCCCAAGAACCAGAACCCCGCGAGCCCGCCAAGTTCGGGCGCCCCGGCAGCCGGCGCCCGTGCAAATAAGCAGGGATTTTGAACACCCCCGCAAGCGGCGCACTCAATGGAGGCGACCCCCTCCTAAAGTATTGAAATGAAGAAGAGCCGCGGCCGTCTAGTCACAGCGCAAATTATAGTGCCGACAGTGAGCTGCCAACAACCGCATCTCCTGCGGCCTACTTGCCTGCGATCTCTTGCGCCGATTTTTTGTATGCTCACATCATGAAACCCACAAGAAACATCGTACAAAAGGGGAAACTTCGTGCGAACGCGCGCTATTAATTGGATACATTTCGAGCACAAACGAAAAGGAAAACTCATACGCTAGAAGATACATTCATACAACAGAGCGAAATCATACAGGCATTACCATCACTACAAGTTCAGTTACAAATGAAGATGTCTGAAATGTATAGTACATAGCGGCTTCAGTAGTAAAAAACAAAAAGAAATAGCTATAGGGAAGCGGTGATCTTACTGAGCCCGCGCCCGGGCGGATGCGCTCTTTGTTGAGTTTATCTTAATCTTTGTCGCACCAGATCCAGGGTTCTATTTCCGAAAAGCCGCAGCACCCGAGTACTGGACTCTTTACTTCTCGGGCCGGTAGTGCTGCTTGGTCTCCTTCTGGTGCCAGCGGGTGAAAAGCTGTGGGACCGGGCTCAGATGCTTATAGACTGCTGCATGCAGCTCCTGCAACTCCTCGTACTGGGTCCGCTCTGGCCGCGTCCTTGGCTTGAAGGCCTCAGCTTTGGCACGCGCGGTGAGCGTGAATTCGTCAAAAGCGGTTTTGATGCGCGCCCGCTTCTCCTCCGCGGTAAGTTTTCGCACCCATTTCGGAGCATCTCCCGGCTGCTCCAGCCAGTGTAGGACTACGAACTTGGCGTATCTCATCCACCAGACCAAAAACCTTTCCCCGCGCGCCCTCGTGCTTTCGTCTCGAAAGGATTTCTGGCGCACCATTGCCTGGTCTTGCGTCCGGAGAAAATCGGAACCCGCCGGCTTCTGGAAGATGAAGTTCATGCGGCCGTAGTAGGTCCATTCCGTATCTGCAAACGCCATGAGCAGACACCCCCGCTCCCGCTTCTCCGTGTACAATTTTGCACTGCCGACAAAATCCAGCACGAAGCCGTCGATACCATCGCCCGCGATGTGCTCGCCTGTGGCCTTCTTTTCCTCGAAAACTGCCGCGCGGTGGTGCGCGATTTCTGCCGCGGACATTTGCTTCCTTGGCGAGAACCGGCTCCGCTGGCCTCCTGTTTTCTCTTCGGCGCCGTCCAAATCTGGCGCGAGGTCGTTATCACCTTCTCCCGCACCGTCTTCGGAGATATCCATCGCCAGGCGCCTTAAGCGGTTCCGCATCTTTGCCGTCATTGGTGGAGTGGCCTTGCTATTGTTTACTGCTGGATCTGCTTTTCCTGCACCCGCGACGGGCGCTTGTGGATCCTTTAACGCAAAGTCGGATCCCCCAAGGGCTGTGCCTGCAATATGAGAGACCGCCCCGCTCACGGCGTTAGCGACGTCTCTAGTGCTGCTCGATGCTGCTGCCCCGCGCAAAATGCCATCTGAACGTGCTACCGCTGAAGAAGTCGGTCTGTCTTCCGAGAACGCCCACTCCGATTCGGATGATTCGACGTCAGCTTCGTCGCGCAGACCCTCTTCGGGTCTGCTTTCCCCTCCAGCCTCTGGCCGCAAATCGTCCTCGCTACAAGAACTACAGGAAGCGCGGTCGAACTCAAGGTCCAGGTCGTCGGCCGAATCTCTGTTATCCCCCGCACCAGTCAACTCCCCAACGCGACCGTCAGTATGCCGAGCGTGTGAGGATGAAGCTGCGTCTGCGCATTGTAGTGATGGGGCGGAAGCCGTACTCCGTCCCGGGTGTGCAGGCACTGACGATGGGCTTGCGCCTGGCTGTGCCTCCGTCGACCGATCCGCGGCGAACTTGGTCTCACTCCGGCGCTGGAGTCGCGCCGCCGCTTGTTTTGCTTCTGCTGCCCGCCTTCGTACTTTTTTCTCGCCGCGGCGCGTTTTCAGCTGCTTTTCTTCCTTCTTTCTCGCAGCTTCTACACGGTGCGCGCGCTGGGCTGAAAGAAATTGCAGAGCGGAGCAAATGTTGAGCTTGCTCTGCATGAGGATGGCCTGCCGCAGTGTGCTGCCTTTGAAGCCTCCGCGACTTGCCACGGGGGCTCCTTCCACACCAAGGTGCGGATCGTTGGCATTCAGATCGCCGGGAAGGAGGAATGCGCCATCTTCTTGACCAGGATCTTCATCCCCGTCGGGCATGCAGTCGTCCTGCGCGTCAGACGTCGCGCTGGCAGCTTTAGCCGCAACAGCTTGTGCGGCCACGCGACCAGAGCCGGTTTTCTTTTGCCGCTTGTTCTTCCGCTCCAGCACTAGCCCGGTACTTCGTTCGTACAGAATCCGGTCGCCGTCCACGAAATGCTCGATCTGGTTGATCCGAAGAACGGAATCTGCCTGAATTTGTAGCGCCACGTCCCCCCCGCCTTCCTTCGGGGCAGTGGCGGCTCTCGCACCTGACCCGACAGCCCCGGACGCTGCTCTACTGCTGCTGGAGGCGGATGTAGAGGCTGCCGGCCGTGCTCCTCGGGTGCTGCGGCCACCAGCTGGGCAAAAGCCTTCGAGTGTGACCCAACTGAAATTCCACGTCGTTGGACACGCGAGCCGCTTGTCCCATGATGCGATGTGCCGAATAGCTGTTGTCGATTCCGCAAGCACCGCCCCGAGCACATCTACGACCTGCTCGCCTGCCTTTCCGAACTCCAGAGCTACAAAGATTCTCGGGTTTCCCAAGGTCCAGCACACGAGGTAATCCACGCCGCCGAGTGTCAAAACCAGACGTCGCGGAAGGGCAAGTGGGTCTTTTGCAGCCGCTGACCCGGCGTGCTTTTGCTGCAGGCGAAAAGCAAAACACCCGCAGGGGCTGGCAATAGTCGGACTCGGAACTCCACCACCCCGCTCGAAGCAAGAAAGAAGGGAGGGGTCCAATACTGGGCCGAGAGTTGCGTTTTCAGTTACCACCAGCGGCTCCTCGTGCTCCCTCACGCGCCGCACTGGTATGGAGGAAACCAACGGCGGGAGTGCCACGTCGCGAATTCCCTCCCAGAAATTCTTCTGCTCCGCTCTGTTGGAAATTTTGGCGTCAACTTCCTTCAACAACCTTTCCAACCGTGAGCGGGTTGCTTTTCGCACGAACAAGGAGTCGCCGACCGCGTCAATCCCTTCGCTCCACCACTGCTCGATGGTTGCGGGGTTCGTCTTGCCGGCCCTCCAGGCCTTCTGCGCAGCGTCTTCGGCTGTGAAAAGTTCTTTGTGTCCTCGGCAGAACGCACGGTGCAACGCTTCCGGCTTCTTCGCCGCGAACTCACGCTGATCGCGCTCCAGCTTCAGGATCTCGTCTTCCTCCGTGTCTAGTTGTTTGCACAGGGCTCGGCGGCGCTCCTCGAACTGTTCCGCCAATGCTTCCGAAGCGAAGGCGGCCTGCGCGGTTGCCGATACTGCGTGCTCCCCTCGCCAAGCCCTTCGGGGCCGTTGCGCATCGTGAACGAAAGTGTGATGCATCTCGTTTTTGCAGCTCGGCCATCCAATGAAAAAGTGTTTGGTGTTCTGGAAGCGAGATCTTGGCACCGCGTAGGAAATGCAAGATAACTTTTATTCAGCATGCAAAGAGAGAACCACACAAAGAGAGCATCGAAGAGAGTGTGCTGATAGAGGAAATCGCGCGCGAGGGCGTCCGCTGCCACTAGCGTGCGAGAATAGATATCAAAACGGACACGCGCAGCGTGGCTTCCGTCGTACTGTTCGTTGGGCTTGAGGGTGAGCCATGAGACGCATGGCAAACCTCTGTGCCCTTGCTTCGTTCCAGATCCAGGCACTGTTCCAATGCACATCGACAAGTCCCCCAGCTGCACGTGCGTCGCCATCGTGTCCAAAATCGTAACGCCTGCTGCTGGCGAAATTTTATCGCGGTCGCAAATCAAATTCACCAGGTTCCCGTTCTCCGCGAGCTGCAAGGATTTGCATACGAACTTGCGGAACAGCGCGTCGCGGTCTTTGGTAAACTCCACGAAATGCAGCCTCTTCGCGTCTTCCGCCATGCTGCTCGTCTCGGCATGCCACGCAAGGGCGAGCTGTAGATGGCCCTCAAGCTGTGCAACCCGATAAACAAACCCGGCCAGTCCTCGGAGAATTGCAAGAATTCCTCCAATCCGGAGGGGTTCGTGAAATTTTGCGACGCCATCATCTCCCGGCGCGACGATACTGACGTCCTCCTGAAACTGCTGCAAGCCCAGTCGCTTGGCGGCAACGCGGGAAGATTCGATGAACTGCTGCTGGTTCGTCCCGTGGTGCCGCAACGTGGGAGTTGTGCTCGGGTCCCAGCTTCGCTCTTTCGTGGCGGATCGGGAATAGGTCTCCCCGGCTAAATGGTCCGCGGCGTTGCTCGTCGTCGCGGCGTATGCTGTTGCAAAATGTCGGGGCGTGCTCCGTGTTCCTTGAAAATGCACTCACGCCCATAAACCCTGAGGAGCCGTTCTCTTTACTTGTCTCGGCTCGAGGAGCTTGCTGTTGCTCCGCCGCAGAGCAACGACCAAAAAATGAAAAGAAAACACAAGTAGCTTTCACACGAGGCACACAGGGCGGATTTCACACGACATCCTTTTCCTTGCTAATGTTTCCCCCGAGTGCCAGCCCAGCCCCGAAAATTTGCAATCCATACCACAACATGCGAAAGCACGCCGAAATCGTAGCTCGTAAGTAAACCTGAATCGTGAATGAGTCAAGATCTGCAACGTGGGTCGTAATCCCGAAAAAGTAAACCCTTCAGGGGCGCCAAGCAATCAGCTTCGACCCTAGTGAGGAAAAAGCTGCAAGACTCTTGTTACTGGAGGAAACTATCGGACAACAACGACCCGCTCCGAAGTGGCTCAGTGGCCTCATCAATAAGTACCTGGACAAAGCGAGAATCCACTTGGCGTGTAAATTCCGGAGCCGATGTGTACGCCCTCGAGCGCGTCCGGCGCGCCACCGTTATACGCTGTTCGCAATGCCGCGAATGCGCAGGCCTGCCGGCTGCACAGCAAAATCGACCACCACCTTGTGTCCGAAGGAGGGCTGCAGCGCGGCAAAATGGTAGCTATCGCGGCCTTCGTTGCCGGAATCATGTCCGGCGAGCCGACGTGCGGAGCCCCATTGTGCAAGGCAAACGGCAACTCGCCGCTTTTCTCGGTGCTCCACAGACTATGGTGCTCCAGGAAATTCAGTGTGCGTGCGCGGAGGACCTCGAACGATTCCAAGTTCTCCACCACTACGGTTGCTTCGTCGACGAGTTCGCGAACGTCTTTTATCAGACCAGGCCGGTTTTCATTCACGAGCATATTGAAGGCCCACGAGAATGCGGAGTAGAAACATCTCTTTCGCCGTTTTTTTGTGACCCCCGCGGTCGGCTTCATGTTTTCCACGTTCTCCCACTGCTGTGCTGCGGTTGGCCCTCCCGCCGGGTCCGTTTCGGTTTCTTTTTCCTCTCTCGCCTGCTGCTGCTGTGCGGGGTGGCTCGGGTCGATGAGCAACAAGCCGTCGTCGTGCAGCTCCAAGAGGTTCAGGTCTTTCGGACCCGCTGCTTCCTTTCGAAAATTGCTGCTCGATCCGGCGGCGGTGCCTGTTTCACAGAAGTTTCACGATATTCCCTTTCCCTAGTTGCTCCGCGATGTGAAGCCACTAGCGGCGACAGAGCCGCTTATATTTGAACAGGGGTTGGAACATGAGAGAAGAGGTTCCCACGCATCCAGTTATCTGTTGCCATCAAATCAGCATCATCATCAGGGAAACAGACCTGCGCGGTGGGCGGCGGCGGAAGTACTTGCGCCGGCGATCGCCTTCGTCGAACCTCTACCACGGCCGGCTTTTTCCTCCTTTGCCATCGCGTCGAGCCGCTCGCGGATCGCGACGGGAATCATCTTCCCCCGCAGCTCGGCCGTGCATTCTCTAGAGAGAATTTGTTGCTGGTGCTGAAATATTGCGTGAAGAGTGCCCCTAGATCACGCCCACGAAAGTGGCACCATGGCAACCGGAGCAAAGGAGCGCGGCGATGAATGTCGCGTCTTGTGTATCTGTTCGTCCGATTCCCTGCCGACGCTGACTAGTATCAGTGGACTGGTGGCGCGAAATACTTCGGGCCACACAAGAGGACGAGGCGACAAAACCTACTAGTACGACTACCCCCGAAGACGAGAGAGACGCCCTTGCTCCGGTGGCGCATCGGCTAAGGGTCTGTCTTGCGCTTCACTATCATAACTTCACAAAATTCACCCCAGCAAACGATAGGGTACGGGCTGAGAAGAAACCAGCTGCGAGGCTTATTCCGCTGCGAGGCACCTGTCTGCGGCTGCGCGCGGGCAGAGCTTGCTAGTAACTTTGCGCACTTTCTTGCTCATGCTATGCAAACACTGCGCAAAGAGAGCCCATGCTATGCGAGCGCGGCTGCAAGCGAGAGGACAAGAACCCCCACGCAGGCAGGCCGGAAGCGCCGTTCGCGCTATATACTAGGCGCGCAACGGCGCGCGGTTGGGGCTGTCTGTCTGATGGCAAAAACAAGGCGCAAAGAGGGAGGGGCCCCAAAAGGCACGAGGGCGGGCCGCGTCGGGTCTAGGCGCCCTAGCTTCCTGGCGGCGCGGGGGGCGCCAAGCGCGACCGCGCCAAATACTTTAGCGGCCGCCCGCAGCAGCAGACAGATTTCCAGCGCTTAGACAGAGTCGAGCATGAGCTTTTGTGTCGGAATCGTTTCTTGTAAAGAGGAAAAGGCCGTCTGGCGGTCGCGCTTTTGCAGAGAAGACAAGATGTGAAAACCACAGCAAATCCTATGTACATGGAGGCCCAGCACTAGGCTGCGCGCTGCTTCACTCTATTTTTTCAGCAAGCCAACTGGCAAGCGCCTTTCTTGCTTCTGCCCATGCAAACTCCTGCGCTATTGTTTGTCTCCGAGTTTATCCTTCTAACCATTTCAAAGTGCAAAAATTTGAAAGACGCCGGCAATTCGTTCTCCGGTACACCGCCACCGGAATCCGACATGAGGTTGAACAACAGCAGGCGGTCGTCAATGCCAGACCCGAGAAGATTTGCGTCGGCGCTGTTGTCGCCGAAGAAGCGGATCCGGGGCAGCTGCATGATGTCCTGCAAGAGTGGGTGCAAGATTCCGAGCAGGCAGGCTGCTGCCTGGGCCGCCTTGAGACCCTCGGGATCGTCCTGTTGCTGGTTTTTTTTGTTTGCTGCGGACCGCTTGTTCCTCGACGGTAAAACTCGCGGAGCGGATGTTGCAATAACCCGCGGGCCGAGTTTTCTCGTCCCGGTAGCACCGCAGGCGGACGCATCCTGCACCGAGATCAGCGTCACGAGGATCTCCGCACCCTTGTCCAAGAGGACCCTGCTCCCACCATCCAGGATGGATCTTTGCTCCGCCAGTGCAAGCAACATTCCCAATTTTGTCGCGTCGAACTCAACGCGGAGCATGGGGGTGGCGCCACGCTCCCAAGCCGCAACTATTTCTGCACGAATTCCAACCGAAACCGCTTTTGCTAGTTGCGACGCGACCCGGCGCATCTGCAGCACCCGCGCCTGTCTTTTCGGCAGTTCTTTCTGGAAGAAGGAGTTGATGAGGTTGCGAACAAGGTCTTCTCCACTTGGACCGGCAACCGCGTCGCCCGGCGTCTCCGCGTGGGCTAACTCCTCGCCCCCTGCTTCCGGAGCGGCGAGAAGAACATCACCACCCACTCCACCACCCCGGGTTCCGGATTTTTGCTGAACCGCATCTCCTGCAGCCGTGCTGCAGCCCATGGAAGAAGATGCTGCAGCCCTGCGGCTCCCCTCCAACATCCGGCGCTGCCCTTTTTCCGCACCGCCTGCAATTCGGGCGCGGCTCCGTTTCGCCAGTTGCGTATCGCGGCGCTGCGGCTCGAGGTTGGAGTTGACTACTGTGGCGCATGGGGCGAACACACGTCTGCGGCGGGATGAGTCAAAGCACAAAAATCGGCTCTGCGTGGCTGCCAGCCGTTGCCCAGTTGTGGCCACGGCCGTCAAACGGAGGGCCACATGTCATGCTGAAGACGAATGGGGAAGAAGCATCCTTCTCGCTTCTTAACCTTGAAATGACCTCTGCCCTAGAACGCTCGCAACTTGCCTTGCGGCGAAAACTTTGGCTCATCCCGACCTACGAATATTCGCAGTTGATATGGTGCGCGCCGTATTAATTTCGGCGGCGCGGGACTCCCGGTGCAATTTTCGCAAAACCAGCTCCTTCAGTAATCGCAGCTGGAACGCTTCGCCTTTGGTGGGTGCCGCAAATTGCGCTCCGAAGCCCCGGCCCGGCCCGTTTTCGTTTTGCGCCGCCTGGTTTCCGCCTCCTAGCGCCACCGCCTCAACTGGCTGTGGCCCGTTGTAATCGTCCCAAGTGCAGATCGTCGCGGTGCTGAAGTCGCGGGAATGCGCACCGGCTAGAAACACGCCTTCCCGAAAGTCGTCCTCCGCCATCTTCTGGCCACGCACGCGAATGTCGCCGATGGGTCCCGTAGCTTCCGGCCAAGGCCCTCGCCCACCCGCTAGAGAGACCAAGCGGCCCGAAGAAGAAGAAGCTGCAGCTCCACTTCCCAAGCAGTTGTTCTTCGAAGAAGATGACGAAGGCACTGTGTGGGGGGCTGCGACATGGTCAAACTCACCAAAAAAGTTTCCGGTTGGTAGCCCCGACTCCCTCCGCTCGGACATGCATGCCATGATGAACTCGGACGAAGCACCACCATCGCCAAAACCCGGGCGGAGGCCGCGCTCTTCGGCATCTCGCTCTCGGGCAACTGCAAGACGAAAGTCCTCGCGTGTGAAGATCCGGGAAGCGGCAGACGGCAGGGCCGGCACCACAGCCGCCGGGCCGGCTGCGCGTTTCTTCCGTACTTTGGTCTTCACCATCCTGCGGAGTTGAAGGACGTAGAGCTAGAAGCTCAGCTTCAGTATGATGCTGAGGTCGTGCTACTCGGCCAAACGACTGAAGAACGACTTGGATGGACTGGAGGCGAAGTCGAAAAGCAACGCATTCCACGCCAGAAAATAACTCACAACACAGACACAAAGTCACGAAAGGGGTGTGCTCATTTGTTGCCGATCGTCATAAGCAACGTGCCGCAACTCGTAAAAAAAAAAAGCCACCACCCGTGGGGCTGCAAGGTAGCTCAATAACCGAAATCAAACGAAGCTTGCGAAGCTCGTATCGTGCTCCGAGATCAGCGAGCGCCAAAGCTCTAGCGGCTCAGTTGCACGCGGGGCAAGGGCTCGGGCACCAACGAACAACGACGGACCGCAAAGAAAACAAAAGACCAAGTCTGAAGCATTCGCCATGGACCGGGTACGGTTTACATCATGGAAACGAATGGGGAAAGCTTTCGGGCATTCCCTAGTGCGGATTGTTTTTTGCAGTCGCTTTCATCGATGATTTTTCTGATCACCCTGCTGTGGTAACTCCTGCTACAGGCACTGGACTAAGGAGCAACGCCATCACTACTACGAAGCGCGAGAGCTACTAACTATTACTGCGCGCCTTCAAATAAGTCTTCTTCATCTAACTATTATTCATTACGGCGCCGCCTTCAAATAAGTCTTCATCTACGCGGCCAACTCAGCGTCCATGGCTGGGCAGCTGCGCGGTCGTGTCTGAATTGTGAAAGAAAGATAGACCGCAGCGCGGGTAAATCAATGCGCGTAAGCGTGCTCGCCCTACGCCTACCTTGGTGCCTCGCTGAAGGAGCGTCGTCTTCTAGCCCTTCGCGGGGCCTCACATGGCTGCAACGGTACCAAATGCAGGCCGAGCGCCACCTCTATCCCGAGCCCAAATCCACTGCAGGCCTGGTGGCTCGCGGAGCTGTGCGGTCAGCCCGCCTTCGCCCCCCATGCTGCAGCCGCGTTCTTCCTTCGCTGCTGAAGTCGGGAGATTGAGGCCGCTACATCTCTATCAGCCACCCTGGCCATGTGTTCCTGCTCCGCAACGCGCTGTGCTGCGCGCAAGATGGCGTTACGCTGTCGGTTCCGGATTTGCGCCTGCTGCCTGTCGGACTCCATGGCGTCCCGGTACTCTGCGACCACTGCCTTTGCGGCCTTGCTCTTCGGCTTCTTCTGTTCGGCTTGCGGTATTTCCGAGCACTTCTCCCTGGCTGTCTTTAACCGTGCCGCCGCCTGCTTCTTATCGCGCGCAGACTGTGCGCCCTCTGCTTCGGCTTGCTTGAGAAGTTTCTGGAGTTTCGCAAGATCCTCGTTTTGTTTTCGCGCGCTCGCCCGGAAACGCTCGACGCACTGCGTTAGTTCTTCGTCTTCGTTCTCCGCGGGGTCAAAGTCCTGACCACTACTACTTCGCCCTGACGCGGATTTGGCAAGTTCGGCGCTGAGGCCATCTTCTCCGGGGCTTCCTGCACTCCGTTCTCGTCCGTTATTTCCACCCACAGGTCGCAGCTCGCTCTCCAAGTCGATCTTCCGGAACTTTGACTGCGCCTCGGCGAATTGTTGTTCCGCCTCCGCTTCAAACGGCACCAGCGAACGCGGCGGCGACGCACACAGCTCGAGGGCTGTGTCTTCCGGAATCGCGACAAGATTCGAGGGCATGCTGCGCACGCGCTTCCCCGCAGGCTTCTCAACCTTTCCGGTGCGGTTGTTCCAAGTGCTACTGCTCTTCCCCCGGTCCCCGTCGGCGAAACCAGGTGTGTGCGGCGCTGCGGCCTGTATCACATGATAGGAACTGGCCGCGGCCCGTCCCTCCAACTTCGCCTTCGTGCCCGCCCTGCCTGAAGAGCTGCTTGCTATGCAATGCAAAAGAGGCGCACTAGTATTGTATAAATTGCATTACAAATTAACTGCGTCGTATCATCGTCGTCGTCTATCCTGTATAAATCTACTACCTTCATACTGCTGCTTTACCTTGCGGAAGAAAAGCGCAATGCATCAATGCAATTCTTACTTATTACGAGCGCGATGCTTTTGCACTGGATACTCGCCGCTTGGTGTTTGTTGTGCGTGCTCCTGTTGTCGGAAGGTGTTGTTGCAGCTGCGGGCTGCGCAGGCCCTGGCAAAGCAGAGGGGGTGCGAGTTTCGTGCTTCGCCGCAACTGGAAGTAGCGACGTTTTGGGATCTTCGTGTTTTTCGATGGCGCCGCACTGCTGCCACTGCCTTCCGCTTCCGCCTCTTGTCCTTGCCACTGCGCCGATCGTATTGGAATGCAGGCTGGACGCAGCGTCACTTTTATCACTGGCGTCCCCGCCCAGCTCGTGCCCTGCCTTTCCTGAAGCAGCAGCTGTTCGCGAAGACGAGATAGCCGCCCCGTCGTCATTAGTGACGACGTCCGTCCCCCCACAGTACAGTGATGGCCCAGCCTCAGTCAGGCCCTGGGCTTGAGACGTGGCCGCAGGAAGATGAGGCGCGGCCGGCTTCTTGTCCGATGGAATCGCCGCTGCCTTCCCGCTGTGAGCTGCCGCCGAGACGTAGAAAGCAGGCGGCAATCGCTGCTTTTGCGGCGAAGCCACCCGTAGCACAGCAGACTGCTGTCGCGGCTGTAGTTGTAGTTGGCCACCGGGTGCCGCGTCGTTAGTGGGCGCCGACGTTTTGCCGCGCTGCACGCTCACGTGGGCTGGCTCCGGCGGCGGTGCTGCTGTAGTTGTCTTGCCACGCTGCCGACTGCAACCGGCCCAACTGCAATGACAGTAAAACGGCCCGGCGCAGAGGCATGTCTTGCTGCGGTTCCACATGCGCTGCAACTTGCAGTACTCGTACGCGGGGCCCTGCATTTCTGCTTCGCCAATCGCGCGTCGACCTCCTCGGTCGGGGTTTGGCCTCCTCGGTCGCTCCGTCTCTTCCTCGTCCGGGGTTCGAAGCTGCCATTTTTTTGCCGGCTCGCCAGGAGCTGCAGGAGAAAAAAGCTCGGAATGGAGGTTGCCGACCTCAAACACGCTCGTGGGAGCTAGAGCACGGCCAACGCCATATTTGCCGCCCAGAACGCCGCCCTTGCTAAACTGTTGATCCCCGTCCCGGAGAGCGACGTCTGGGCGGCCTTCAGCTGCTGGAAGCCCTGCGTTTTTGCAAAAGCGCGCCACCGCAGCGTCGGCTGCTTTCCGCATTTGTATCGAGCAGCTGACCTTTTTGGCCTCCGGCTGCTTCGCCCCGCGTTTCTTGGGCTCTGCGCACTTCTTTCTTCCAGGAGTTTCAGCTTGTTGCGAGTGGAGTGCGTCAACTTGTCCTGTTGAGGTGCAGCTATTGCTCTTCTGCGCCGCGCTGGAGCTCTGACGCCTAGACTCCTCGCGCGGGTTAAGCCGAGACGAGAAAGAAGTCGCAGACGGATTTAAAAAAGTTACTGTTGCTGACATGGTTGCCAACTCTTTCGTCTGTTCCGGATTTAAAAAACGACCGCCGGCACCGGGGTCTGCACCTCGTCCACGATGCACTGCAATCGGCGGCGAAGGCTCCGCTGCTGTGCTGGCCGCGATTGGTGCGCCTGGTCCTCGTCCGGCCTCGGCCGACGATGGCGGGGACAGCTGGCGAACGGCCGGTAGCGCTTCTATTCCAAAAAAGAGGTGCCTCGCTGCAGAGGCGGGGAAAGCAAAGCCACCGTCGGGGCCCTCACCCGCGCATGACGGTTCCTCTCCAGCGCCAACCGCTGGCAATCCGTCTGTGTTATTTTTAGCAAGAACGAAATTGAAAACGCCCCAGAATAAACGCCGGCCAAATTGGTTTCTAGAGAAGGGCGAGCCCCTCCTCCTCGGTCTTGGGATGGACATGCTGGGTCGGCCAGCTAGCACATCTAGAAGCGCGCGCAATATGTAATAGGAATAGAGTAGCTACATCTGCCAGCGAATACACAACAAGGCGTTTTTTAACGACCTGCCTACGCAACTTCTTAACTTGTTAAATTGCTTCTGCAAAGAATCGGCATACTGGCTTACCTGAAGCTAGGACCAGTCGCACCGGAGAAGTCGGCGGAGCTGCAGTTCCGTCCCGTCCTGCTGTTGTCGTTAGTAGACCGCCCCCACGATCGCGACTGCTGCTGCTGCGGGACTGTTGAGGCGCTTTTTTGTGCGGGGAGGAGAATACGCCTGTGCTAGTGCCCGACGTGCCCAACGGCTGTTCTCCGAGGCGGGCGATAACGCGGCTTGTGACTTTGCTGCCGGTCGGTGGACGATAGAAGAGCCCCCGCGGCGATGTCTCTGGCGATTTCTGGAACCAGTTCAGCTGCCGCCTGCAGCTGTAGTCGCGCTTCATCATCCCTTCGAGCTCGGTCTTGGTGCGGACCAGGAAAGCGCTTTTCTCCTCCGGAAGAACCCAACACTCGCGAAGCCCCTTTCCCATGTTCGGACGAATATGCAGCCAGCACTGCCCGCCGCCGCCTTTGCCCCGGAAGCCGCTCTGCGCGATCGGCTTTTTTGGTAAGAGCCGGAGGACTTGGCTCTTCGCGCTTGTTGTGCTGTTCCGCCGTTCATGGCCGTCGCGGGCCGGGCCGTCTGCACGCAGGGACGGCCGCAATTTTGACTTCGCGCTGGTGGCGGCACGTTTGTCCGACGCGCCCTTCTTGCAAGTCGCGCTTGCAGGTCTGCATCCTGCCAGCGACGGACCACGCCCGACCATGGTCGCTGCCCCAAAGATAACTCTTCGCCCCGATGGCGGGACCCGAGGGGACCACGCGTCTCACCAAGAGGTAGGAAAATGAAGATCGCTGTTTCACCGCGAAGTGCCCAGCTTTCGGCTAGGCGTCTGTACTGTTGAAGAGCTCGGCGCCATGATGCAGGAGCGGTGGTTGTTCTCGTTCGCGACCAAGATCCGCGGAGGTTGTCCTGGTACGGTCAGAAGATTAGCGGCACTCAGCAAGAAGATGCTGCGCGAACGGTCGCGCCCCCCGTATGTTTTCCTGCTCAGTGAGGCTGGTGCGCGGGTGTGCTTAAGGGTAAAAGGCGGGACCCCGTACTAGCATCCGCCGATCGATCAGCGAAGGGCGGCGAAGATAGCAGCTACACACTGACGCTGCCAATAGATAGCTGCTAGAAGGTCAGCTCAACTCTTCTGCATTGGAGCGGAGAAATAGTTGTTAGAAGGTCTGCACTGGGGCGGGGGGTGCTCCAGTGGGCCAATAGTGTGAAGAAGTGCCCAACTGCGCAACTGCACTAAGTGGCAAGTACTGCGGCGGCCGTCCCTGTGCCGAGCGTGATCAGTAGGTCCTGCCGAGCCGTCTTGTTCGCCGCCTTGATCTGATGTTTTCCAGCTCGGCCGCGCGTCGTTGGTTGGCGAGGACGCTGGCGCCCAGATTCGCAGGCTCTGACTACCATTATTTGCACCTTTCAGCCGCAACTGCCACTAGTCCAATTACAGATGGTGTCCTACTAGCAACCTAGCTCAATTATGGTTGACGCAAAGCCGCTACTGTGCTTATCTAGTAGCGCGCGCGTCGCGTTGAAAAATCTATCTTCAAGAAAAAGGCAGACGAGCCTCAAGCGCTAGTTATTTGCAGCGCCCACCTGTCGAAAATTCCAAAGCAGAACGAACTACGGCTCTGCGTTCGGGATGACAACAAAAAAAGCGATGATCTTGAAGAACTGCGATTCGAAGCGTTCACTTGTACGGAGACTGCTCCCAAGCTGCTTTATGTGAACATGAACAAACTTTGCTGAGGAACTGCGAACCACCTCAATCCCCGGCCCTGCAAAAAAGTTGCTCGAAGGGAAAAAGGCCCGCTACATGCTTGATCGTGGCTTGGCTGAGTTCTTTGAAACATATAACACGCAACAGATCATCATCGCGCTCGCAATCTGGTCGAAAAAAGTAAGAACCCACAGAAAAGGATCGCAATCTCTTGTCTCGAATCAAGGCCAGATCTCAAGCATGGAACTTCCAGTGTGCCTTCGCAGAAGGAGCGAAGAGAGAGTCTCGCGCTGGATCTACTCCTTGTGCACGTGCACCACACGGCCGACAAAAAAAAGAACACGGATCCACCAGCACCAGACGCCGGCTTCTCAGCCTTTCAAGCGTTTCCGGTATAATTAAATACGCGCGCAATAGCTTGCGAGAAGGTCTGTGTCAGCCAGCTCACTCGTTTTTTTTTGAAAAAATTCTTTGTCGGCCAGTTCTTTGTCAACCTTCAGCTTCTGTTCTCGCGACAATGTCCAGGCTGGGTAGGCGCCAGCTTGGACGCTTTCAAGTCATTACTTTCATGCCGAGAGCGTCTCTCTTTTTTCAACACTGGCAGCAACGCCTCCCTATCCTCTCCCCATCGGCCGGAAGGGCGTTTTGCTTGCCATGGGAACCAGGTGCGAGGCGAGCCGGGCCGTGTTGTCCATCCATGGTCACCTGGTCCAGGCCCAAGTTCCCGCCCGCAAGCACGCCCATGCGCGCCATCAGAAAAGTTCGCTCCTGCTGCTCATGATGAAGCGACTTTGCGACCTCGGTCCCCTCGTGCCCGTGTTGCTATATGCCCCCGCATCGAGGCGCCTCGCGTGGCTAGGTCCCGATTAAAGAAGGATACGCCAGAACCTGAAATCGTTTTTCGCGAAATGTTGTGCCATGTTTGCAAAAAAAATCTGCCCTTCGTCGCATTCTCGAAGTTCTGAAAATGATGCGCCTTCGCGCGAAAATTATAAATGGCTACTCCTGCAATACAGATGCGGTTTTTGGGATGCTATAAAATTAAAAAAAAGCTTCCCTTTCGAGTCCTTCGATTTTAAATCTGCGCCAGCCATTCGCCTCGTTTAGTTTTTCAAAATCGCCGTCGCGATTGCAGTTTCCAGAAAGCCAAAACTGCGTCCGTTCCGTCCGTTTTTTTTCTCCCCCGGTCGCCCCTCTTGATTTTCACTTTTTACAATGCTATAAATCAAAAATGCTCAAGTTTTTTTAAGGTTTTTTTCAAGTTTCTTCCGCTCCTGTTTTGGGGGCCCGTTACTGGAGTAATTGCCTATTCTGCATAGCAAACTGCGTTTCTGCATCACAGCAAAGTGAAGCTTTTGGGTAACGTGCATGACAGACTTGATAGTCTTGCTAGCCGAGCAAGACAAACCTCGCATTCTTCCAGACCCAGACATATTTGCACTGGATAAAAGGAGCTTGCTTGGGATAGAAGATGCACTGGTGCATCCTACTACTTCTTCTCTGCCTGCTAAAAATCCTGAACAACTATCAGTGCAGAAAATCATCGACACTGCGGCTTGGGATGCAAGTGAACAAGTCCGACTCACACTCCTCCGGCTCCTCTTCGCCACTCTGCGCACCCTCTCAATGGAGCACCGCAACGGAGAGTACCTTTTCTGCCTCGGCGAGCACGTCGACCCGAAACTGATCGAGAACACCATGCGCACGCGACTGTCGCGCATCTGGACATTGCCGGAAAAGCTGAAGCACTACGAGCTGAACCGGGTCACGGTCGTATTGGGAGGAAAAATCCCCCCTCCCCATATTGAAAACGCATCCTTCTGAAAATTTTTGGTGCATATTTGTGACCACAAATCCTATCTGTCTTGCCAGAAGGCAGTCGCAGAGAGCCCGCCACGCTATCCAGGCGCTTTGTCGTGCTGTGAGGGCTACAGGGCAGATATCTGCCATGCTAGGCGCGTATACCTACCAAGGGGCCCCTGCCGAGGCTTGGGATATGCGTGCAGTCCTGCTCTACAAGACAAATCTGATTTGTGTACACAAAGTCCGCATCACAGATTTCCAGTTTGATACGCGGGGGGAGGATGTTTCCTTTTGATAGGTCGGCTGGGGGGTCGCGAACGTGCTGGGGAATTATCAGGTTTGCGCGGACAGCGTACTGTGAGGAAAAATCCCCCCTCCTTATATCGAAAAGGAAATTTGTGATGCTGGATTTGGGTACACAAATCTACTTGTATTGCTAGAAGGCCACGATACGCAGTTGTGGCCTCGTTTGCCGGCATATATTGTCATGCTGTTTCCCACTTCCAGCTGCCTCCTGTCATGCTGAAGATGCAAAGGTTTATTCCCACGCCAACCAGCCCTACAGACCGCATCTCTTGTTCCCTTCTAGCATGACAAAGCTGATTTGTGCTCACAAATCATGCTACACAAGTTTCCGATTGAGCATGGGGAGGGGGAGATTTTTCATTGTAATACAGCGAAGATGTGGCGGCGCGGCAAGACTCGGAAGATGGTGGGCCCTATCCTGTGCAAAAGTATCGTATTCGTATAAATGCAAGTCTTGCATTGCAAGTCCTTATCTTAACGTAAATCCGCATGACAAATTTCATCTCTCATGCTGAGGAAATTTGTAATGCATTTATACGAGTACAATACTTTTGCAGTTCATAAGCCCGTAGAGCCACCAAAAGAAGATGACCCAGTTCATCTTGAGGATAGTACAACCACTCCTGCCGCTCCTGCGAAGAAGATGTCAACAAAGCTTCAGCATCACAGTCATAAACTCGTGTATTTTGACAATCGGGTATGGCGCCGGACGGACGAAAATCTGCGCGCTATGGACAGCAACGAAACCCTTCTGGAGGAGATGCTCCAGCATTCTGATAAGAAAGATATTACAGGGAAAAGTCCCTCCCACCCCTGAAATTGCAAAAATTTGTGATGCGAAGTTTCCAAATGAAAACTTTTTGTCATGTATGAAAGGAGTATGTTGAATCTTTCTGGTGCAGAGTCTAGGCGTGTATCGAATCGCTTGCATGACGAGCGCCGTTTTTGCTGGGGTCTTTTGCAATACAAATTTTTGCTATTCACGATTGGAAGCCTGTGATGCTGATAGAGGCAAGAGGGCGAGTGTTTCACTTGGAAAGGTTTGCAATACAAATGCTCCCAAGTTCAGGGGTGGGGGCATTTTTCATTGTAATAAAAGAGACAGAAGATTCAAAGCGCTGGGATCTCGGGTGGGAACAAAACGACGGTGCTGGTGCAGGAGCTGCCACGTCACAATCTGCCTCCAAGGGAACAAGCTCCTGGATCGAGAAGAACAGCGCTGCCACCATAGCTAGCTATCAAAGTGAAAAAATCCCCCACCCGATATCGAAAACGAAATTTGTGATGCTGTATTTCAGTACACAAATCAAATTTGTGTTGCAGTAGAGCACTGCATGCAGATCGTAAGCCTAGGTAGAGGCCTTTTGGTGTAGGCGCCTAGCATGGTAGACGGCTGCCCTGTAGGCCCTACAGCGTTAGCAATACAAATCGCCTGCATGACTTGCCGGGCGGCCTGGACTTGCCTTCTTGCAAGACAGGCACGATCTGTGGCCACAAATCTGCATCGCAAATTTTCAGATTGATGGATGCGCTTTCAATATGGAGAGGGGATTTTTCCTTACGATACCAGCATCGTAGCGGCCACGGAGGAGGACGAGGGCGAAGTAGATGGTGGTTTTGCTCCTACTAGCCTCACTTCATCTACTACTCTCGAGCAGCCTTTGGCAGCTTCACCGCCTGACAATGAGGTCTACTTCAGCGTGGAAGCAAGAACTGCCGCCGAGAAGAACGCCAGCCGACCTTTTCGACGTCCCTCAGATAGTAGTACAGTAGCCGACCATACGGAGAGAAAGAAGTTTGTCGCAGTCACTAACTTGGAGGTTTTGCATTACAAATTTTTTTAGCATCACAGCTTTTCCTTGTATTGCACAAACAATAAGGGAAATCCCGTATGCAGTTTGGCTGTGATGCATGTTTACGCATGACAGGCGTTTTTTGTATTGCACAAATGCCCATGAGTGATCGTGATGAGCTTTTTTCTTTTGATACAAGAACAGCAGCTCCACATCACTGGCGGTGGGGACCCCGATTATGAACTGCAAAAGTATCGTACTCGTATAAATGCATTACAAATTTCCTCAGCATGAGAAATAAAATTTGTAATGCTGATTTACCTTGAGAAAAACAAAAAGATTTGTAATGCTAATGCAGCATGATTGCAATACGAGTGCGAAATAACTTTTGCACAGGACCCCAATACCCGAGATCTCCTGTTCGGCTCCTACGGGCGTGACTATCACAGGCAAAAATGTCTGGGTCTGGAAGAGTAAAGACTTCTTGTCATGCAGATTTTCCATGACCCATGAGGTCTGGAATGCGGGACGTAGCATGACAGAGATTCTGTGAGATGATCCCTATCATGCCTATTCTGCATGAGAAACTCCGTTCCAACTTGGTCAAAAGTGGACAGCTTTTGGCACTCATGCAACACAGATTTTTGCATGCTTCAAATTTACCATGACAAGTTGCAATCTACTTCCAGACCCAGACATTTTTGCAATTTACAGTGACGTGGGCTTCACTACGACCGTTGAAGCGACCCACGATTCCGCACTGCGCCAAAACCCCTGCTGCGACAAACTCGACCACCATCTCAGCACGAATCGCCTCGCGTGGCAAGCCACCATGACAAATCCGGAAGGTAGCGGCGCTGCGACCCGGGCTTTGGAGGCAGCGCTGGTGCGCGAGATCGCAGAGCGGTTGAAGTTCTACGTCAGGGCCAGAGTGGTGGCGGAAGTGGCGCTGGAGAGGCAGCAACTAGAGCATGCTGCAGAGGAGGAAGACGGAAGTGACCATGTCGCCCACACTGACGAAACCCAATCTCGGTCCGCCGCGCCAACAAGTAGAAGCGCATCATCGTTCGGTAACGGCGTCGTGGACTATGGAATTGCTGATTTCAAACAGCAAATGCGGTCGCTCGTCACGGTAAAGGCGAATCAGCACAATCAAGAGCAAGCGGTGCACGTGTTCCGACAAGTCGAATCACGGTTTGGTTTGGAAAACGCGCAAAAATTCTTGGACTTTAACTTCCTTTTCCAGCGGGATTTACGGACGGTGGTCGATCCGGATGCGACGCTGATCTGCGACATTGATTGCATTGTGCACACGTTCAAATTGCGGCTGGTAGAGGAACGGCTGGAAAAAATTTTTGCAGCTGCTGGAACGAAAGTAGACACACCGCGCCCGCTAAAAGGCGCCGACAGAAAGGAGGAGGAAGAGTTCGTCTGCAAGTTTCTAAACGCGGGCCACGCCGCGTTGATACCAACTTTGTTTCTCCTCAAGTTGCGGTCAAGGATGGAAGAGGAGCAAAACGTTGGCAATTCGTCGTCGTCCACAGTATCCATTGCAACCCTGCCGCGGTCGCGGGAAGGATGGTGAAAACCTGTAGTCATGCTGGGCTGACAGAAAATGATGATGATGAAAACGGTCTGTGTATACGGGGCATCAAGAACTAGAACAATAAGTCGTTTGCCATTACCGTCGCTGAGTTTTTGAAAAGTAGGTTTTATTCTGCAAGCGAACACGACATCGGAGTTTTTACGGATGTGCGTGAAGGCTTCAAAGGTCACGAAATTTCCCTCGCGAAACTGCATTTGCAGTCCGACGCGTCGGACTGCAAATGCAGCATGAGCCCAAGACTTTGTTCGCTGTGGCCACAGCGAAGAAATTTCCCGGGTGGACCTGCATTTGCAGTCCGACGCGTCGGACTGCAAATGCAACCTCTTCCCCAGATTTTGTTCGCTGTGGCCACAGGGAACAAATTTTCCTGGTAGACCAACATTTGCAGTCCGACGCGTCGGA